GAAGACCACAATAACCAAACCAAGAAAAATTCCACAAAACCTGGGCAATCTTCTTTTGTGGACTCAGAGCATTCGGATTCTGATTGTCCATTACTTTCCATGAACAATATAGAGAAGATAACCCCAAAGAAACGTGGAAGAAAACCCGGGCTCGGACGAGAGACACCGTTGAACCACGTGGAAGCTGAAAGGCAACGCCGTGAGAAGCTGAACCACAGGTTCTACGCGCTCCGAGCTGTAGTCCCGAACGTGTCGCGCATGGACAAAGCATCGCTCTTATCTGACGCTGTTTCATACATCAATGAGCTAAAGGCGAAAATAGAAGAATTGGAATCACAGCTTCAGAGAGAGTGTAAGAAAGTGAAGGTAGAAATGGTTGATGCTATGGATAACCAAAGCACCACCACTTCCGTGGACCAGGCAGTCAGGCCTAGTAATTCATCATCTGGAACTGCTGGGTTTGGTGGCCTTGAGCTTGATATCAAGATTATGGGAAGTGATACAATGATTAGGGTCCAATCGGAGAATGTGAACTATCCGGCTGCTAGGTTAATGGGCGTCCTTCGTGATCTGGAGTTTCAAGTCCATCATGCAAGCATGTCGTGTGTTAACGAGCTCATGCTCCAGGATATTCTCGTCAAGGTTCCTGATGGATTGAAAACTGAAGAAGGCCTCAAATCTGCTCTTCTCAGGAGGCTAGAGCAGTAAGGTTATTTAATAAGGGTATGGAATAGCTGCTTGTAATGCTTTATTTTCTTTGTGTTGTCCTTTTTATTTTTTTCTCTCCCAGATCTTTTCGGTTAATTTTGTGTTTTTGCTTCATCGTATTTCCCTTTGAGCTTTATTTTCTGCTTGTCATGTAATTTAAGGAGATAAAATAAAGCAGCTGTTTTTTTTTTTTTCAGTTTCAGTAGTACTTTCTTTTATCTAAATTTTCTACATATTTTTCTTCTGGTTGTTCCCCAAGTCTATGACAAGCTTGAGCTTGAAGGAAACCGTACCTTACCGACCAAGCCTACAACAAAAATATATATAAATAAAAAGGGACAATAATGCATGTATTATATATACCTGCACGTTTATGAACTACATATATAACATATACTGTCAAAGGGCAGTTCAATTTTTTTTAAAAAAAGATTGGGTCCCTTAATTTTTCACGCGTAAAAAATCCAATAATAATGTCCCAACTTTTGTTGATGAAAAAAAAAAAGAAGAATTAAAAGAAGGGTTGGTTTTACCCAAAGAAAAAAAAAAAAAAGGGTGGGACGTTCACCAGCTATCAAAGTTGCCCCCCCCCCCCCCTCTTTGTAATATGTGGTACCTCTGCATTTAAGTTAAGGTTCTTGAGCGTATAGCCTTTAAATTTTAAAATGGTTGGACAGATACAGTGAAAAAAAACAAACACAAAAACGTTCGAGTACTACTTCTTGTACGCTTAGCTATACTTTGTGGCTTTTTTTGGGGTGACAAATAAAGAAATTGAAGCTTGTGGCCGGCTTGGACCAGTAAAAGTAGCAGCTACAATTTGGGACGTCAGCAAAGCCCAATCTAAATTGTTGACAAGAAAAAACTCCCGAGTTTGCCTTTACGTCTTGGTTAACATTCCCATAGTTTTGAGAGAGGACTGATCAGAGGATGCCATAGTTGCATGCATGCATGCATTCAAAGGGGAAAATAATCGGTGTCAAGAGAAGGGTACATTAAATCTGTGCATGAATTCTGTATGGTTATGATGATCTATCAAAATCGTCATCAACGGTTTGATTACTGGTATTAAGAACTCCATGTTTAGTGGTATTTTGTGGTGGCCTGTACGTAGCTGGACTTGGCTGTAATTAAAAGACCTACGTCCAACTTCAATAGTATCAGATGGGGGTAGTAATTCATATAGTTTAAAAAAAAATTTTCAAGATAGATAAATTATTTAATTTTTTATGTTAAAATAAGATATGTTATATAATAACTTAAGACAGATGATTATAGATAGTGCATTTAAAATAATATCAATAAATGATCACTGATAAAATTTGAACTCAAAATTTTTTTTATTAAAAATAATAATTTTGATTAATTGAACTAATTATTTATTGGTGTAATTCATATAGTTTAAGCTTGGATATATCCTTCTAGATTTGCTGGTGGCCAATGCTATGGCCTGTGGGCACCCACCAGGGCTATAGTACCTGTGCCCGCCACCCATGCTTAACCCGTTATCACCAAAAAAAAAAAAAAAACATATAATTTTCCTACTTGGTTCTTTCCACATGGTAGGTATAAGAATTTTAATTATGCTCCCCCTATGGGTTGGTATATATATATATATATATATATATATATATATATATATATAACCCATACCACCGAATGGAAAGCGGCTAGGAAAATGAGTGCTTTATTTAAAAAGAAATATATGTATCAGAACAGTGATTAATTTATTCGTACTGAAAACAGAGAATTTTTCTTCATTATTCAAAAAAAGCCGGAAACAAATCCCAATGGCAGGGCTTAATAATATTCAAGGATGGAAATATTCAATCTTACTGTAAATGACGTCACTCTGGCAAAATTCCATAGGGGAAAAACTAACAGCTCATCATCCGACATGAAAAACCCAAATAAAAAACTGTCATTTGATAATTGGAAAAACAAAAAAAAAAAGTTGAAAAAAATTAAATGAAATTTATAAATAGATAGAAACGAGCCACGCGCCTCCTAGGACTAGGAGGAAAGAAATTGGATATCACGGAGTCCGGACTTTGAGATTGCAGCATGTTTATTTCGTGGGGCGGTGGGGCAAAGCTTTTCCTAGTCATGGAAAATGGAATATGTTTTTTTTTTAGTTTTTTTTTCGTACATTGAAATGTTTATTTAATAGTCTTCAACGGAGTTTAAAAAACGGGCTTCAGACTTTCAGTTCAGTGCATGAACGACATTTTAAACACGTGGCTCATACTTTTTATGGACAAAAATTTTGCTACTTGAAATAAATTGGCATTTTGCGCAATGCAAAATAAAGTAATAGCAGGTAAATCAACATTAATTATAATAAATATTTTAATATAAAATAACCTAAAATCGAAGTATTTTTTTTCTCCATCTCTTTATAAAATTAAAAAAAAAAAGTGAATATTTAATTTTGATATATAGAGGGAGTGAGGATGCATTTTTCATATTTATTGTTTATAAATGATACGAAAGCGAAAGGAGAAAAAAAAAGGTTTTAATATCGAATGTGACACATAGTTATTCATCTCTCCGTGCTACTATGAATTACACAAATGTAGACAATTACTTCAATGATGCAAGTCGCCGTAACATTTTAAAACAACATTAAAAAATAATTGGCTTTGTGAAAATTGTAAGATAAAACCAATAAGTAAAAGTCCACAATATATATAGTCATGTAAAAACCAAAATAACCAAGATTAGGTAAATACTTTTTTGAAGTAATAAACAAGGATAAATTTTTAATAAGTTGCAATAGCTTTGGTATTTTTATTTCATTGTTTTCCCAATTTCCATTCCTCAGGTTCTTATTTGTTTTTATTTTACACTTTCTTTTACCTTTTACCCGTTATTATTTGTTCATAAAGGTTACAATATTTATTGTTTGCTCATGTATGTTAATGTTAATTATTAGGTTTACTAATTGATTTGTTTGCCTTTTTTTTTTTAGTGGTTTCTAGAGATTTGCTTAATATATGCCTTCGGACCGATCCCAATAGGGTTATCAATTAAATACTTTACAAATCAGTGAGTAAATTTAACGAGTCTATAATATTTTTATGGTCCATCCTTTCCATTGTACTCTTAATTAAGCATTCAAATATATTAATGGCTAATTATTAGTTAGGCAGGCTAGAAATTTATTTATCTTTTTATTTATTGAGATAACTAAAACTTTATTTCTAGCATATATTAAATAAAAAAGACTTATTGAACAACCAAATTAAATTAGTCATCCTCTATTTCATAAATCTCACATTTTACCCAATATTTTAATTTAAGACCTTCAGTGTTTACTTTTCAATTTAGAAATACCACATAATAATCTTTTTCTGACAAAAGTGATAGTTTTCATAGCGGGATACGAGCCCAGTGGACTAGGTTAAAGTGAATCACTTCTCCTTGTCTGCTCCAGGGCCAAGCCCAAAACATCCTACAACTCATTGGCATTGTTATCTGCGAAATGAGCAAAAGCTTCATGGATGAACCACATTCAGGCACATGCATGCCTGCATAAATACATACTTATTTACATATATACATATGAATTATAAGTTAAAAATGGGTGAATAAGTGGATATATTGATGTATGTATGTAGGTATATGATCTTTTAAATTGGAATACTGCTTGGGTCAACAAGGTGGAGCAAACCACACAATCTTACTTGATACTCTAATTTGCATCGTCGTAGAATTTAGGGTTCTAAGGATATACTAAATTATTCTTATTTTCTGTATACTTGTTTGTAGCCTGAGAATCAGTAGTTGTTCAAGAGGCAAATGCCAAATTGTATAGCCGACGGACGCGAGTAATTTAATATCGGTGTGAGCCCATGGGTGAAGCCCCTTCAAATGCATGTATGGGCTTTAAGCATAGTTGGGCCTAGCCCTAACAGCCAAAAGTAGGAATTAGGAAAAGGAATGTGAAAGACAATGGAACCATAGATTTGAGTTTGTTTTTGGTGAATAAAAGTTTAGGCTGAGATCAGACTATGCCATTTCAGGAGGGTTAGGGAAGATTTTAGGTTTAAAAAGAATTTATATTGGATTTATAGAGGGATTGTTATAGTTCAAAATTTACCGATTTAATCAATTTCATTAGAATAAATTTGAATTTCAAGGTCAAGGCCTTTGGCTAAGACAATTAAGAGAAATCAAAAGAGACTAGCTATGGTTCTTAATCAAACAATAATATGTGCAAGACTTGGGACAAAAATTAAAGTTCCAAGGATGATCCAACAACCAATGTAAAAACAAAAAAGTCTGTCCAAAATCATTTCTTTTTCTTCCGTTAATGTTTGTTTGATTACCATCAACTCTGGATAATGCCATTATTATAGAATCAACTCTGGAAATTTTGTTACATTTTTCCATGGATAAACCCAAGAAAATTATTTCCCCCCTAAGAAAAAAGAACTATATTTGCTATCAAATCTGTATTGCTAGAGCAGTATCAATGACCCAATGTTGACCATCAGTTTTGATCTTGAGATTATTTATTTGTGCAAACAAATTTACTGCTCTTCTTACCCCACGATTATCCGCCGCGGTAAAATAATCGTGTCCAAAAATTACCCCACCGGGTCTCAAGATCCGATACGCCCGGTTTATATCTCCCCAAGCGGATATGAAATCATGGCCCGCATCGATCTCTATTAAATCAGCGGTTATTCCCCACTCACATAACTTCTGTAGACCCGACGCTGTTGAGAATGGAACGGGTAAAACCGACCTGGTAGCGTTGAAATAAACCACATTTTGCATGAACTGTTGAAGCAACAAAACGTCGCCGTTTATCGTGTTAATGTCCTTGAAACGGTCTCTGAAACCTGGCCATCCACGAAAGTCATCGAGGCAGAGTATCTGAGTTTGGAGGCCGATTTTGCGAGTAAGGTTGACCATGTGGAGAGCTGAAGCACCCAAGAAAGTGCCTACTTCGATGATAACTCGGGGCTTCACTCGTTTGATCAAGTTTTCGAAAACGGCACCATCGGAGCCCCAGCCTTTGATTCTTTTTTGCTTGAGAAAGGAGCGAAGGTAGGGAGGCGGGAAATTGGTGTAAGGAGAGGAGCCGTTAAAGACGCGGTCAAGAACCGTTGGGAAGACGAGGTGAGGAGGGAGAGGCGAGTTGGAGCAGTGAGTTGTGACCCGGAAGTTGTCGAGTTGGCTTGGTAAGTTAGCGAGTTGGAAAACTGAAGGAGGATTTAGTTGAGAAAGCTGTAGTAGTTGTTGTTGTTGTTGTTGGGGAGGAGAGGAATGGGAGAGGTAACCCAAGGTGTAGCTGAGCAAGACGATTATAACGTACGCAGTGGTATGAGTGAAGAGTTTGGTGATGGAAAGCTTGTTTCTTTGGGGGTTATGGAGGTGAAGAGGGCGTTGGTCTTCTTTCATGGCGATTTTGGTTTTTCTTTTCTTGGTTGAGTCTTGAATAGCAAAAAGAGAGAGTGATGACTGACAATAAATGGGCAATTGTCGTTTGTTTAAGAAAGAACGGGAATACAACAACCAAAGATTAAACTTTTCTATTTTTTTTTGGCCAACAATCACCTTTCCTTTTAGGAAACTGCAAGATGAATTACTAATGTATTCATCCGAGAAAAGAAGAAAAAAAGGAAGGAATTCTTTGATCAAATTGTGAGACAAAAAGGAAGGTCTTTGCTAAAGGATGAGATAAGTTGCGTGTTTACTACTCGAATTTTATGTTCGAAAAAGACCGGAAAAAATCGTGCGTTTGAAGGATCAAAGTTCAAAGCATTGAAGAGTGAAAAAAGTGTTCAAAGAAAAAAACAAAAGGTTTTAATACGGTGAACGAAAAGGCCTTGGGCTGGGAGGGAGGTCTGGCTCTGGCCTTTTCTTTTCTTACTTTCTTTGGTGCCAAACATTTAGAGAGATTGTATTTTTTTTTTTTTTTTTGAAATGAGAGAGATATTGTAATGTTTTTTTTAAGTATTTTAACAACTTTTAATTACTGAAATTATGTTTTCAACAATTGAGGGCTGACATCTAAAGAATATGTTTAAATTTTCTCAAATCATTTCGTTTCGTTTTTAAATTTTGATTCGAATCTTAAAGGTTAAAATGACAACATCCATAGCATTGCAATTTACTGGTTGAAGAAATGTCAAAACTTTCTTTCAATTACATTAAAGATTGAATTTAAGGAGTTGAAAAGTGATAACCGATCATGGCTTGGTGTGGTTGGGTTTGAATGAGTTTGGACTATCCCCATATCAACTAGCTTGCAAATGCAGCATTTAGAAGATGAATCAGATTTGTCAACATCTTAAAACAGATTCAATTTTATTTTTTTTTTATGAAACTTTTTAGTAATTAAAATAGCTTTAGATTGGTCTCCAAACTTCACAGTTCGTACAGGACTCTCACCAATGACTCGGAAAAGGTTCCAGGAAAATCATGATTATGGTCATGGATATTTGCGTTTTCTTTCTTTTCCTCTCCTTCTACCTTTCCTTCCTCAAAGTTCGGCGCCATTTATTTCATCTGGTATAGAAATTTAATATTCTCCCAACTTAGATGATTAGGAGGCAAGTAAAGGTACACAGTTCTTGCACATGTCCTTTACTTTGAAACAATAGAGATTGGTATCATCTTCGCCCAACCATAGCCAGATAGCCTACGCCTCATCTCATGGACCCCTGTTGTAAATGAGAAGCCAACTGCTTCCAGCTCCCTTAACATGGGTCCAGGAGCTTGACCAGTCATTTTAACATGCGGAGCTCTCATGGTAGGTTCCACTTCGACAACCACGACCTGATTTTACACGATCATTACCAATAACAAACCAAGAAACTTCGATTGGATCACAATTCAGATGCATGATGCAAGCCTTTATAGGTTATTACAAAATGACAAACCCGGAGGTAGTGACCACAGGCTTTAAGCCTCCTTTTACAACTAAACTATCGTCGTCTAACCCCCTGTTCTTTAATTCATAGGCATATCAAGAACCTCAACAAAAGTTAACTTCCTGAATTGTTAAATTAAAGAGAAACCAGAAATTTTAATTCTAACACCGTCTACAGCAATACAACTCCTATTGTAAGAGGCACCTACAATCAACAGCCACAAGTATCCCATCAAAACAACGGATTAGGGCAGTCACTTTGCCTCCTCCGCTCCATCACCACCACCATGCCCATCAGCACCGGCTTCAGAACCCTCTTGCTTGTTTCCACCACGTCCATCATTTGGGCCTGAAGCTGGAGGGGGACCACCACCGCTGCCACCTCCAAGTGTAGCCTCAGCATGCATGGGATGCATGCCATTATTTGGCCCTCCAGCTCTGATTCCCATTTGACCTTGCATGGTTTGTAGATGCTGCTGTGGATCCTGCATTTGATGTGGGTTATTGAATTGCAATGGCATCTTTTGGGGGAAAATACCTGGTTGCTGTGCCATTGCAGCAGCCTGAGGATGTTGCATGAAATATCCTCCTGGTTGCATTGCAGGATGTGATGCCATCTGCAATTGTTCCTAAACATGTGAGCAAGCACCATAACAGCAGATAGACTAGAAGGAACCATTTATTTTTAACACTTGCCTGAGGAGGAATTGTTGGTGTTGTTTGTGGTTGTGCATCCGCAATTGCAGCTAAGTACATCAAATTCTTTTGCAGCAGAGCTTGATACCTAAATCATCAAAATGTTATATGTATGCTGCCCAAATGTCATACATGTAAGCATGTGTGCATGTGTGAATGTGCAAAACCAAAACTAACGTATAGGAATAAAAACTAAAAGTAATTTTACGGGGAAAAAAAAGAAATTGCAACAATTCAATATTAACATCCAAATATTTCTATTGTATCAATTTGCAAGCTTCATAGGTTGATAAGTGATAACCTCCTCTGTGGCTACTAAAATTCACCTCCTTGTACAATCTTGATTGAATACCCACTAAGATCACTTGGAAGAAGGGGGAGGGTGGGGAGTCGGGAAGGAAAACCCAACTGCATTATCAGTGATAACATACCATATGCTAATGATCAACAAACAGTAGACATGCTGATATAGTTTCTATCATGAATCCTTGATAGCACATTATAAAGAAAAACCAAGATAAAACAACAGAAAGTTGTAGATTCTGCTAACCAAAAGAATAAATTTATCCTGCCTTCTCCAGATATTCAATGTTTGAATTATGCAACAACCAATAATAGACAAGTAAACCACAAGACCCATTATCACAAGCATATCATATTGATGATGATAAATGATAAATAATAAATCATTTTTAGCTATCTATGCCTCCGAAGCCAGCAAGAACAATGGGAATGAAGCACTAAATTAGTTTTGGAGTAGAGATTGTGCCATTATCTGTATATGCATTCAAAAGGAAAGAAATATCTCACTTTGGATCTAGAGATTCCTCAATTTGGATCCACAGTTTTAACTAGAAAGACATACAATTATCTAGGATGAAAGAACTATTTATAATTAATTGGCAGGAACAAGAGATACTTCAATTTGAGGTATATGAACTACCATCTCACAATAGCAACAGCTGTTTCTGATACAAATATCTGGCAACAGTTCTGACATGCTAACACATGTACCAGTTTAGACAAGCCACTCCCTACTTAAAGCAAACATGCTTTAAACCTCGAATGTTAATTTAAAATGCTGCACACACCACTAAGGTAGATAAAAGAAAAAGAGAAATTTATAAATTACATACTGGGCGCATTCATGAAGTTTTCCAAGATTCTGATTGTCCAAAATTGCCAAAATCAACTTCTTGTTCTCATCAAGGTACTGCAATAAGAATGTAAAAGAAAAAGAAAATAACAACTTAATGCCTTTATTATCATATACTCCATTCTTTGGCATTAAGTGACAAATACTGTTACTATACACAACAGATAGAGACGGGCAGAGATTTATACACAATTCTTTTAAAACATGTCTCCTACAATCAGGAGCAAAAGAGGCACTAGAGCCATAAATAACAAAATCTAAGGTACACACTATAACCCAAAATCCATCAAAAGTTTTTGCATTTAAGCACTTCTTAAATTCTTCTCAAGTTTTTCTCAATCTTGGGTTCCCAAAAAAGACTTTGACCTGGGTAATGATAGCCCATTCAATAGGAAGTTGCTGGATAAAAAGGATAGTAGGATTTTAAGGATATAGAGTCAATTCAAAAATCCTTCAAATGCATTCCCTTCAATTGAACAAACAAGAGCTATAAGACTTTCGGGTAATTAGTCAAAACAAAAGTAGTGATCATCAATGGGAATTAATATATAAAGCCCACAGTTTTAATAAATCAACTACAGCTCTGGCATCTCACACCTATTAAGACTTTCTGGCAACAGGATGCAATATCATTAAATTCCTTATTTAAATTGATGTTTCATATTAAGAGCATATGCTAACTAAGGCTTTTCCTTTAAAAGGATTATTACTCTTTCAAAGAAAAGAACAAATGATCTAAAGCAAAAAAGGAAGATCTCATCTATCACCCTGTATCTAACAGAAAGAATTTCTATAAGCAAGGGAAAAATAAATCATAATTGGTGAGGCATATGAGAACTTTCTTTTTTACTTGCTTTTAATTAATTTAACTCAAGCAATGACCTGATAGAGAGCCACTTGGACAGCTTTAGGAAATCAGTCTCATAGGCCCTTTATTAGGAAACCACTATTCAAGACTTCTGCTGCAATGGCCATACATTTCCATTGTTTGGAACCATGCATACAGCTTAAACCACTCTTGTTAATCCAATTGGAAGCCATTTCAAGACAAGGCATCCAAAAGGAAATTTATAAGAATTAAATGATTATATATTATCTCATATGTTATGAAAATCTATCTGCTATCACATAGAACAATATGTTTTTATAAAATCTGCAACACCTCAACATGGATCTACAATACATATGCTAGAAAATTTTCAAACAGGTCTATCAATTTTTATTTCACCATCAATATTCCAAAGAAGATATTTCATTGCATTAATGAATTAGAACCCAGAAAAAAAAAATCTAATTTGAGGTTCCCTGGTGGCGCCCAGAAAAATAATAGCAGCAAATCACTAGTTTAATTAACAAAATGAAAGGAAATCTCATTCAGTGTAACCATGTAGAAAAGAAAATAATGTTGAACTCAAAAATTGACATGCGGATTACTTTATCCTGACATCATTAGCCTTAAAACTCAAAATTAAAAAAAAAAAAAAAGAAGGCAAGATAGAGGTGGAAATCATAGATTGATTCTAAAAGATGCTAGAAGACTTCCAAGAAACTCATTCACACATTCTGTAAAAGACAAACCAAAATTAGAAACAAGAAAACCTATGAAACACGGACATGGACATGTAGCACGGGTACGACAGGATACGGACATAGCAACACGGCAATTTATAAAAATGAGGACACAGATATGGTAGGACACAACAATAAAAAATATTCTTTATATATTACAATCATCAGTTAAAAATATATGCTAGTTATTGGGCTCATTTTTAAAAGATATTTACTTTTATAAAAAAAAAAAAAAACTGGTGATAGATACAACAATAAAATAACATATGGTATCATTATCCACATGAAGATTGTCTTTTTCGTCTTTTTTGTTGCATCCGGCCAAGTTTGACATGAATTTTGGTGTGTCGCATGCGTTAGAGTGTCAGACACGGATACGACCCGAGTAAACGAAAGATTCAGAAGTGTCCATGCTTCATATATAGAGATAAAACACAGACAATCAAATTGACATGAGTAATCAGACTGTTAATTCTCCCCGATATCAAGCACAACCACTAGATGTGCCAGATGTATCTCACTATTCAAGATGGCACAAGTCTCTTTCTTTCGACAGCAGATACCAAAATAACCAATAAAAGAGAACAATTTAATCAACCGCATCGCATCTAACAAAAAGAATAATTAGATCCCCCTGCATTACCAATAACTTTCATTCATCTCTCTATTTTAGCCATTGCTGTTATCATAACTGCTTAAAACCAACATCAACCGACCATTACCTTTTCAGCATCATTGTTCTATTCCAAATAACTATCAATACAGGTGAAATCAATTCACAGAAAAGCACAACTCTTCCATCTCATAAACGTTATGTTCATAAACATCCCTAAAAGGACTGCTTCTTGTTCTTTTTCTTTTTCTTTTTTTTTTTTGGTTTGGAACAAATAAAATGTGCTTCTTATATCTCATGAAAAAGAAAAAAAAAAAAGAAAAGAGAAAAGGTTTCAGCCATAACTAAAAATTACCATAAAAATGAAAAGTTCCAGGTCAGCATCTCCCTCTCAGTAACCCCATGACTTCAAACTACTAACATTAATCGCAATATATAAGGATATTAAATGAAAATAAAAGGAAAAAAATTAATCTAAATATGCATACCTTTTGAATCTGCTCGGTAGTGATATTAGTTGGTGGAAACGAAGACATCACAGGAATCATTTGCGGTGGCTGCTGCATCTTGTGTGAGTTTTTGCTTTACTTTACTCCAAGAAGAAACCCTAGCCCTGATCACCCTCGAGAACTTTCCCCAAAAATTAAAAAAAAAAAACCCTAAATCAAATATCCGCAAATGCTAAAAAAATATGAAAAAGAAATAAAGGTTATGTACTATTTTTACCTTGTTTGCGCAGGTAAGTGTGGAGGAATTTTTTTTTTCAATTTTCTTAATCTTTGAAGTGGGGTTTTTTAGACAGTGACGATGATTCTGGAATTTACGACAAGGGAAGTAAACATAATAATAAACTGAGAAAAAGGGTATTCATTAAATAAAATTAAAGAATAAAAAAAAAACAAACAAACAAAAGAGGTTAGATTTGGTTTGTCCTGTAATGTTGTTAAGACAAAACTCACGCGAAAAAAGATTATTTAGTTTATTGGTTTTTTGCACGGTTGCTTACGTCAGTTTGGTTTTTGTTCCTTTGTTTGGGCTTTTGCTCTGCTTTGGGTTGGAACTGTTGATTCTTTTATGAGTTTAGATTTGATTTTTTTTTTAATTGCAGGAAAAAATAAAAATAAAATAATCGTTTTTTTTGCAAATAAAGGGAAAATTTTGCAGATATTTGATTTAATTATTTGCAATTTTTCTTGTTTGTATTTTTTTGTTTTCTCTCTCTATCCACTATTTATTTTTTATTTTAATATTAAGAAAATAATTTAAATATTAAATATTAAAAATAAAAATTTTAACCTTAAAAAATAAAAAATAACTATTAAAAACTAATTATTGTGAGATTTAAAAATTAAAATTTATCCCATTAAAAAGTAATTTATTATCACGTAACAACTAATTATCTTCTCATAAAGATAATTTTCATATAATGTATAGATATTTGATTGCTTAATCAAAAGAAAGTATCCTATCAAAAATATGATGGTGAGATTGTAATTTTTTAAATTATAATTTAATGAATATATGTAATATCTTTTTAAATTTATTTATAAACTTTAAAAAAGTTTACCCTTAATAAATAAAAAATAATTTAAATCACAACAATATTGTCCATGCTTAAAATGTTTCACATGTAGGAAAAAGGATTAAAAAAAATTAACACTAAATTTAGTAGAAAATATTCAAAAGAAGGGAAAATAAAGAAAAACAGGAAAATTGTTTTTTTCCTTTGATATGACGGTCACAAAAGATTAAAAAAACATGAATAAAATTATAAATAAATATTTAATTTAAATAAATTAAATTTGAAAAATAATGTATAGTCATTTTTTTTTATTCTCTATTTTCTTCCTATCAAAATAAAAAATGAAATGAAGAAAAAAAACTTTTTTTATTCTCATTTTTTTTATTGAACATTAATAAAAAAATTTTCACATAAGGAATATACCTTTTACCCTATGATGATTTAAATTTACATGGTTTTTTCATCCTTTGAATCTGTATCATAATCGTAATATAATGAAAATTAAATTGTCAATCTCTAATTTTTTTATAACATTTTAAATTGATTAATAATTAATTTAATAAAATGTAACACTACAAAATGAGCGTCCATTTGGCGTGTTTTTTCGATATAGGACTCGCATCGAGCCAAGCCAAGTTACCTATTCGAGTTCGAGGCAACCACCAACCATGCAGCGACCTAATTCCGCTTCCCAATCAATACCTTTCCCGCCACTAAAATTCCCATCCCCAAACACCAACAAACCCAAACCTGAACCCTGGCTCTGGACATCCACAAACCGGGATAAGCCGCCGGTTCAGTCCCTGAATGGAAGTAAACCTATTCAAGCTTTGTTCTGAACTCAGAGTCCTTGGCTACTTCATGATCCTCCTCGTCGCCGTAATTATCGGCTTCTCTTACTACGCCGTTGTTTTGCTCACCCGTGTCCCACAGTTACTCCACGGCGGATTCCACTCCTTCTTGTCCTTCACCATCATCATTATATTCCATGTTCTGGTAAATTTGTTTGTTAGTTAGGCAGTTAGTTAACTTTACCGTTTGCTAAGGAACTTAATTTTTTTTTTTTTTTGGAACTTATGCTTTTATTATGGAGTTATTTTAAAGTAGTGTTTAAGGACCCTGGCTCTGTACCTGAAAATTGGAGAGCGGTTTCCGCGGAGGAGAATTTGGAGGTTGGTAGTTCTTGGCAGCTGAGGATGATGGATTTCGGACAAGATCACTTGGTGCTGGTGGCTGTTGCATCCATTGCCAGAATGGGAAGCTGCCGCGGTGCCATCATTGTTCTGTTTGTAAGTCAAATTTAAATCTCTTTCAGTTTGCTTTTGGATTTATTATATCCATTTATCCTAAAGAAACATAATTTTGTACCATGGAATTTTAACAAAAGAATAAAAATGGTAGAAAGGAGTTATCTCGAGGACGATTTAGATTGAAAAAAGGCTAATCCCTAACTGTTAATGAAGAATGAGTTTTAGAAATTAGGGAGTAGTTAGGGTCAGGAATATGAAGCAAAGAAATGCGGACTGTGGTTGAATTTGGTTGACATTGGAAAAGAATTGCTCTTTACTTAATCCAAGGAGAAGAATGAGGATTTTAACATATTGAGGGGAGTGGTGATTCTACTTTCCTTGGCCATCTTTCTCTTGTAGAGCCTCAAAACCATCCTTTACTTTTTACATCTCTGATACCATTTGCATCTCTAGTATATTGCTATTGATTTTAGTTGGCATAAGTGAAGTAAAACAATGAGTCAAGTTGATAGTATGAAACATGACTTCTTTTACATTGTGTTTCTGTAAGTCAAAGATGTGTTCTCAAGATGGACCACTATTGTGTCTGGGTGGTGAATTGTGTAGGAGCATGCAACTACAAGTTTTTTCTTCTTTTCTTGGTAACATGCCATTTCTCTTAGTGAATTTGTAGTTATATGGAATAAGACTTTAAGAAGTATGTCCATCTTCCTTTTTCTATTCTTGTTTTTCAATTTATGGCTAGAATGGAGTTGAGCTTCGAAGTAGGCAAGTCATTTTAAATTAGTCTGGAGGTCTTGTCAGGGTGTCTTTTGACATAAGAGTGCTTTGGTTGCATTCACCTTAACTGGATTTTATCTGGTAAAGATCTGTTAGACTCCATCGGTTATTTCTTATTGATTTTGTGTTTGAAAAAAATGCCTCATCATTTGCAAATATGACTAATTAAATATATAACTTTCTCATTTAACTCCTAGTAAGCCTAAGGAGGAATCGTTTGTAATGGTTGTTTGAAGTTTGGATCAATGTTTTGCATTCTCCTTGACATGTCTAGGAAAGAACTCAGCCAGCCTATGATTTTGCAACTCTTTAACCCTTTGAACTTTTGAAAATCATCTTAAGAAGTTAACATAATTTTTTGTTGATATATTGAGTAAGTAATTTCTGCTACTAATTTATAAAAATTTTGAATATTTCCTCATGGCTTGAGCTTTCTTGAATCTTTGACTTGTACTTCATAACAATTAATTTATAGTTTGGGTTTGCTGCTGCTTCATGTCATCCTTCTTGGGCAAAAGTAAGTACATTTACATAGAGTTACTTGCATATTTCAGAATAAGCATGTAAGATGTTCATCAGCGTCCTTAAAGATTTAACTGCCTCATTCCTTTCTTTTTCTCTCACTTTTTTTTTAGAAGCCTCATACTTCTCAAGCCAAAGGTGGCTGGACTGAATGTTGGCTTCATATCTTTAAACTTGCTTCGAAAGTATGATCTTTCTCCGCCCCTTACCCCTTCTTTTGAACCGAAAAAGGGGGCGGGAGTGATCAGGTCACTTCATCTTTCCTATATTTTGTGACATTTATTTCTCCTAATAAAAGCTATATACATTTTTGGAGACAGCAATATTGGACACCATATTGTTGCTGCCTAGTTTTATCAATTGATTTGATGAAGCCAAGAATCATTCCTCCAGTCCTGCCAAGTTTGCAATAATCTCTGTGGCCTTTGGTAAGTTGTCAACTCAAGTTGATAGATAATTTTTCAGCTCAACATATTTGTTCTGCATTCTCATTGTTTTCATGTTTCTTACAGATTCTGTACCTTGATGGAGTTCTTAATTTGGCTTTTGCTCTGAGTCTTCTTTGTTTCATAGTCATGCACGCATTTCTTCTATCAAGCAACACGTATAGCTTACAACTAATATCTTTACGGCCATTTTCAATCTGTTAAGGTGTTTTTGCTACTGCTGCTTGGAGATTTGGTAGAGTGGTGGATGTTGATTCTATGTGATATCTTCTTTTTGTCGAGAATCCATATGAAGCTCATACTTTTATTTTAATTAACCACCGTTGAGTAATGATATTATCATTGGGATGGACTACGTTTTCTATTTTTGGTGAAGGCTTTATTTGATTGTTAATTTATTATATGTTACCTTTCTGAAGCAATATTTTCAGGTTCGTGAGAAAAAAGCAGTCAGGTGGAAATATGACTTGCGCAGGAAAAAGAATTTCGAGCAGGTGTACTTGCTTAGCATACTCTTGTAGCTTTTTGTTTTATTTATCTATGGACATAAATATGAGGACAGACTACTTATAGCATTTGAGATGTATCTCGGGCTCACAGTATGGTATAATTAACAGCCTAAGCGATTAACGAAAGTCATAATGCTCGAGGAAGACGCTCCTTGTGTGGGCTTTTGTGGCCATCGAATGAGTCATATTAATAGTTAGTGCTGTATCATGCAATAAAACGATCATATAGATTTTGATATAAATGGATGGCAAAAGGATTCTTTCCTCCCTCTTAAGGGACAGCATATTCCAACTTTTCTCATAATCCATTTTCCCTGTTTAAGGTGTTTGGCACGAAAAAAAGTTTTTGGTTCTTCCCATTTCTCTCAGAAGACGATTTAGACAACATAACAGACGATTTTCCAACACTTTCAGATGTTGAGGCTTGAGCTTTACTGAGGCTACAATACCTCTATTATGTTAGTCAAAGTGACTTTCTGTGTATCATATTGCATTTTTATTAATTTATGTTTAAATGTTGAGTCTGAAAGGTACACCTCACTTTATGTTTTATTCTATATTGTCGTTATACTGCCTTAAAGCGAATGTAAATAAAAGTCTTCTCGATCATGCTTCTTTGTTACTTAAGTTCTCCTTCAAGGAGAGGCATCCTGTCAACTACGGGAGGATCGTACTTAAGTTCTCCTTCAAGGAGAGGCATCCTGTCAACTGCGGGAGGATATTACTTATACTTAATTATAATATAATTAATCAATTATAAATATTATGTAGTGTTAGTAAAATAATTATATAAAATTCATATTTTACGTAGTGAGTCGTTATATGTTTTTTTATTATGATAGATTAATTGCAGGATTCTAATAAAAAATTTTGGGGGTGAAATATTTTCATCAATGTCGTGATAATTTAAAGTAATTCAAACAAAAGTATATATTCGATAAAGAGAATTGTGGGTGGAATGCCTCCATGATGATGTGATAATTTAGAGTAATTTAAACATTATTGTATCGTCTATTTCCAAAAATTCATTTGTCAAGACGCATTTCATTAAAACCATTTTCCCGGTGATGTTTAGATCTTTGAAATGGGATGCTAAAAGATGCTAAAAGCTAGGTAAGAAAATAATGAAGCGAATTTCTTAGTTCCTATGGAATGGAAATAAAGTTTTCCATGAAAAAAAAAATCCCTGCCATCTCTTATCCCTCAACGCCATGCATTTTCATGTTTGAAGGCTATGTTGTTGTTATTGGTTGAACGAACTTGATATTTTGAAGTCATATGGTGGCCGGCGGAAAATGATGGGAAATAAATATAGATGGCTTCGATAGGATAGTACATAAGGGCTAAATATCAACCGTTCCAGGAAACATTCGACCGTGTGGTTTCTTTAAATAAAAATAGAAACGGCTGGCGTGACTCGTTTGACATGGTACGGGCGTGGCCGTTTGAGGTCTATAATTTTTTTTTCAGGGTCTGAAATTGTTAAATGTTTATGCTTTTTCTTAAAGCTTGGAAATTATTTTATTGAAATCTCGCTTCCAATGAGAAGAATTATAATCCTGAATGAAACGAGTGGCTTGCACACACCGGCAGGCGTACACATTTTCCCTGTATTTTATTTTTATTATTATTATTATTATTATTACAACATGTTGGGTATCCAATGCCACGTTTGGTAATGAGTAATTAATAATTCATAGTGATAGGTAAATGGATGGAAGATTATGGGAATAGAACAAACAGATAGGAGCAGACCATTGAAGTTTACAAACACTGGGGAAGGCAACATTCTCGCCTTAGTCTGCCTTTGGTTACCTCATCATATTTTATATATATATATATATATATATATATATATATTATATTCTTGATTCTCATTGATTTCTTCTACCTCACTCATTATTATTTTGTGGCCAATACATCACTCACTATTTAATCATATAAAACCCCACCAAGTTGACACCTATCATTACCTCATGCTTTAGATTTTTAATCTGTTCTCATAAGAAAGGAAGTTGTCCTTAGCCTGGAATATCACCATTTAATCTATATATAATTTGCTTTAGCCAATCCAAAAAGCCTACTCAAACAAATGCACTACCAACCAATTAATCCAAACTCTTTGACTATGCAATCTGATTGCCAAGGAACTATACCTCTGCCAATCATAGTCAGTAATATTAGCATAAAAAATTTGAAAACAATTAACATGAAGCAATTATAAAAAGTAATGATATAAAACTGTAAAAAAGACAAGGCATAAGGGTGATGTGATACTATAGCCTGCAATTCTTGTTCTTGTAAAGTTTATCCCCGGAAAAAAATTATGTAAAGCTTGATAGAAACAATCAATAGGAAGTTGAAATAACTTGCTTGATCATCTTTTCCGGGTCATGAACTGAGCCATCTAATGGCCTTACATCATCTTTAGAGCTGCAGATATCAGAAACGAAAATGGCGAACCAAATGATTAGTGGAGTAGCAAACAGAATAAGACCTAAGGGCACCATCCACAGCTGCCTATTTGTTGGATGATATTCATATTCCCACCAGGCCAACATCAGACCTCCGGTTAAACTCACCAAAAACGACCATAAGCAAGCTATGTATGTCTTCACAATCTTCATTAGTTCCTTCATCTTGGTCTCAGATCTCTCTTCTTGATCAGAATCCATAGCAACAAAGCAACCTACAAACAGAACCTCTCTCTCTTTTGGCCCTGAATTTCCACAAAACACAACGAATTAGCCTTATATATATGTCTTAGCTAATTACACGAGGACAAGCAAACCTGTTAGTTTAACATACCAAAGTTAAATCGATGATAGAAGCAGAAGAAGAAGAAGAAGAAGAAGAAGAAGAAGAAGAAGACGTAGAGCCTTTGGAAAGTTAGTTGTTGTGTGCTGAAAACAAGCTGAGAAGGTATGGCAGAGGGGAAGAATAAAAAGCTAGGAACGCAAGATTCTCATGACTTCGGGCCTGAATGTGGGCGATATACTCGTCCAAGTAAGACTGATGGAAGTACCAATCAGGCGTGGCTTTTTATCAAAGTCGTTCTTTGATAGTAATAGAAAATAAAAAGAATTGTGAAGAAGAAAACGATTGCGTCTCAGCTTTTATCACTAGTAGTGATGCATGGATGTATCTAGGGCGGATTCTTTTGCATTTTTTTTAAATGGGTTCCCTGTTTGTTTGACAGGTGCGTTGTTTGCTTACAACGAAATTGTATCGTATTTAAACAGTTCGAGGGCCAGCAAAGGAAACACGTATAAAATAAACGTGAATTAAATTAAAAGCAGCTACATACGGTTCAGTAATGTATTGCGGAAACTTTTTTTTTTTTAATTGTAATACGAAAATAAAGAAAATAGATTGCTTATAAAGATTGGAATTAAATATCAAATATGTTGAATATTATATACATTTAACTATATAAAAAATGTCAGATTTATTGCGAAAATTAATTTTATTTCTTGGATTCTATGGATCTAGGTATTGAAAATGAGTTTCATTACAGGCTTTGACTCTAGGAAACTTGGGACAGAGAAATTTTTTCAGATACGAGGCACCATGACAAAATTAGTTTCATCGTGGGGACATATCCAATCCAAATTTAGTAATATTTTACGTTCAGTGACAAAGTGGGCGTTCACTTTCTGATAGTTATCAACTAAACAATTTAAACAGCAAAGGAAGTATTTTAGCGGGGCAAGAAAATGGTTGAGTGGCTTTGGTTCTTCCCAGTGTCTTGCCTCCATAACTACAATTCGTTATTCTTCCAAACTGAAAGGGATGGGGATGTAATCCAGAAACAGGACTGCGATTTCTCAGCCACAAAATATAAATAAATTCTCTTCATTGTAATGAACTTTTTAGTTTATTACTGTGTGTTCAAAATTTAGACCTGTGACCAAGGATGACTTAAAAGCCCATCTCTTTGGCTTGGGCTCAACCATGACCCATGATAAAGCTGTTGTATTTTGAATGTTCGTACATCCGATCCACTTATATACCAGTAATGAATGAGTGCCCAGAAGCCGAACAGTACAATCTTGTCTCTCAGGCCCATTTCATCTAGGATTTTGGATTTACGCTTCACTATAATCTGGACTGAAGTTGAATGAAGCCCAATGTCTTAAAGTCTAGCTATGTTTTTTATTTACATAAAATAGACATTGCTTATTAAAAAACGAGAATTTTAGGTAGTGTTTGGTTAAAAAAAAATATAGATGTTTTTTATTTTTATTTTTATTTTTATATAAAATAAAAAATGTAATAGAAAACATGTTTGGTTCAAAAAATAAAAAAAATTTTAGGAAAATGAAAATAAAAATAGGTCAAAAGTAGAGAATAAAAAAAAGATGTTTTGAGCATTTTCAAATAAAACGTAAAGAGCAATTGATAAATGAGAAAACACGGGTTTTGTAAACCATTTTTAATTGTTCAATGCAAACTTATTAAACACCCAAGATCGAATCATAATAGACGCAAAGGTTCACTGCAAACACTTCAGTGGAAAACTTGTTCTAATGTCCCTTTAAACAAAAGTTCAAGAAGCGTGAACTCTCCGTCCACCCAGTTTGTACCTTCAGGAATATTGGTATTTGTGAGCCCATTCAACAGATTAGAGGGTTTTGCCAAAATAGAACTTCTTAAGGTGCTCATGCCTCAGCTTGACTCATTGGCAGAACATCAATTCTTGGAAGTTTGTAACCTGAAACAATCACGTCAGCAAGTTGAAGATGTGCTTTCACAAGGTATGAAGAAACTCCAGGAAACTGTGCCTGCGACTGTAGTAACAGGTCAATTGGGCGAAGGTAGTTTCATTCCTCATGTGGCTACTGCAATGGAAAAGTAAGAAGCTCTAGTCAACTTTATGAACCAGGCGGACCACGTTTAGCAGTAAACACTACATCATCTGTCTGGTAAAATTTAAATGGAAAATTACATAAAACCAGACGAATTTAAAGTGGTATCTGAGACTTAAAATTTGATACTTAACTCTCTTATAATTTGTTTTATTACTTCTTTACTCAAAAGCGTAACTTTTTTCGTTACTTCTTAAACGATTCACCATTTTTTTCTTTGACTTTCTCTCTCTAACATTCAAACTCTCTCATTTCTTTTTACTTTTTTTGTTAAAACCCATAATTCTTTCTCTCTCTGTTCTTCATTTCCTGCTTCATGGAGATAGAAGAAAACCTAAAGGAAAAAAATAAAGTTTGAGTCTTTAAGTTTAAAATTACTATCTTTTCTGTTATTTCAAAAGATAAAAATGGTGGAAGCGTAAACATGGACAAGAAGGATGCGCAACCCAAGACTAGACTCAATAGCCACTGCCCACCACCAGGTTTTAGGTATTCTAGTAACCCCAATTGGTGACGTTAGAAATTGAATCCCCATGTTAGAGTTGTTGCTGGAAAGGATTTATCATTGGCAATCTTTGTTGGCTTATTACTTTCAGTTCTAATCTTTGTTGCTGACGATATTGTTCATGCAAATTGACTAGCCTTGACCCTCGAATCCCGATGAAATCAAGGGTTGTCATATAACTTCCTCTACGGCTCGCTCCCAATATTGCTGGTCCTGACGGGTTCCTTTCCATCGCCTGAATTCTCCCTTGTAACAAGCTAAAACGGCCAGTATCGTCATGTTCTATGTTCTTCATTAAGCCTTGGTTTCGGTCAGCTTCGTTAATGAACATGTTAGTGAAAATTCCCATATCATTCATTCCTAAGCTTCATGTGACAGCATTAAAAAGTTGGATCATTTCATTGTGGCTTTTTTGGATGAGCAGGTTAGAGAATCCTCCTTCGTTGATCTCAACCATGCTTGAATGATCAGTTTGTGTTGGGAAGTGATTATAAGATGTGTTCTGCTGCGGCACTCCTCCAAAAGATATCGGTCTAATGGATTGGTCAGAACTTGCCCTGCTACTAGCAAAGCTTTTTTGCATCATGGGAGAGTTTATACTATTACTTACAATTGCACCCTTTTGTGCCACTTTTTACAGCAACGTTGTTGCAGACATGTGGGGCAACCCAGCAATATGACAATAATTTTTGTTGTCTTGTAAGTTATTGAAGCCAAATGGGATATTTAAATTAATTTGTAAACTAGAGGAAGTTGAGGAAACAACTTTTGCCGTCAAATAAAGTGCTAGAGCTACTTGAAAACATGCCTCCACCCATGTTCTTTTTTCACGTCAGATTCAAAACCAAGAACCTAAAATCCGTCAGAACGTCGTTGGATTATGAGAATTTTGAAGAACATGGTGGCTAGTGTTCTTACTTCTTAAGTTTTCTAGGTTTTAGCTGGAAAATTAGAGAGAAGTGACAGAGTTTGAATGTTAGAAAGAGAAAGTTGGAGAAAAAAGAGTGAATTGTTAGAGAAGAAAAAGGAAAAAAAATTAAGGAAAAAACTAAAAATAAAGAAGAAGTCACAATTTTGGGCAAAAAAATAAAAAAATAAATTATAAGATAATTAAATGTCACATTTTAAATATTAAAAATCACTTTAAATTCGTGTTAAACTATAAGATGATTTTATGTAATTTACTCAAATTTAAATATTCTTCTTAATACTAATTGGCTTAACTTTTGATGTTTTATTTAATTGTTGATTTTAATTATTTAATTATTATTTTTATTTTTTTGAAAATGCAAATACCAAGCACATTTTCATAAGTTTTATTTTTAAAAATAATTTTCATTTTCATGTACCAAATATGTTTTTTAAAATTCAAAAATTACAAAACAAAAATTATTTATAAAAAATAAAATAAAATATGAAAACAAAAAAAAATTTCTACAACTAAACACAACCTTATATCCTCTTAAGAGTTCATTAACTACTTAAATCAAAGAGTTGAGGACTGTGTTTTTTATATTTTATTTTCATGTTCAATGAATTTTTTTAATAAAAAATAATTTTGGGTGAGGAATGAGTTTTTCTTTATAGAGCTCAAAAGACCTAAACTTTTTCCCAATATAAGTTGAAAGCCACTTTTCCTAAAATTTGGTTTAAAAACATGATTTCGTTCTTTAGAAAGTTGTTCTTTGGTAACCCCAAATGATTGTAACGCCATTTTGTCTTAAAGTGGTCGAATCCAATCTTTGTTCTAAAGTTGATGATGGGAGGTTAATATTCCCAAAACTGAACCGGTAGAACAAGACCTTAAATTTGTCTCTTACCTCATAATTTTTGGCCAAAACGAGCTGACCTAACGTAGGATACGATTTCATTACAAATAGTGTTAAAAAATCAAAATCGTTAAATTTTAATTTTAATTCAATTATTTCAATCACTTTTAAAAAAATAATTTCAACTGTGATTTTTTTCATTATTTGTCAAGTACAGTCTCTTTAAAAAAAAATAGAAATTGATCAATTAGACCCCTCCAAAAATAAAATTACCTATTTAGGTCAAATATGGGAGCAGAATATGCCCAAAAATCCCCACCAATAGATTTGTTTGTGGCGAGAGATCCATCGCTTTGCTCCACGTCGACAGAAAGTTAAAGATAGGGCTTTCAGGCTAACACTATTAAGGCGGCCCAGGAAGCCACCTAGCAACCGCTACTCATCTCTCAATATTTATTATATCCTTTTCATCCCAATAGTAGACTTCATATTTGTGGTTTTGGATTTTTGGACTTTCTCAATTATTGATCCGTTTTTTCTTATTTCAGTCATTGTACCAAGAATATGGATGATTCTGTCCCATCGTCACTCTGTCCTTTCTCGTTCAATTACTACGTTACCCTTTCAATATCTAAGTAAAATTTTATCACCAGATCACTTAGGACCACCGATCATTACTTTTGATAGGAAAAATATCTAGGGACGTGATTCTCTACTTGAACTTCTTTTATTTTTATTTGGGATTAATTTTTTTATGTATCAATTATTATAGGGTAAAAATAGTTTTATTAGATAATCTAAGCTTTTTTTTTAACAAGTAAAAAAATTTCAAATACAATAATACTTATTTCATTTAAAGTACTGAAAATATTTCCTTTCAACATTAACTCTAAAATTTTTATGTATTTCAAATATAAAGAATTTACGATATGTATACACTATTATAGAATTTTTTTTTTTAATTTGGGAGAGAGGATTCTTGTCTGGTCCTCGAAAACACTTTTTGAGAAAGGTTTTTGATAAATTTCATTCATAATCTTAATTTTTTTATTTCATTTTAATGTTCAATTTTTGAATTATTTATTTGAATCTCTAATCTTATAAAATGGTTTTATATTAGGTTTTTATTAAAATAATTTGTTAATATTAGATATAATTTTCATGTTATAGTTTATGTAGCAAATCATGTGTTTCTCTAATATGTCATATAAATATTTTTCTCAAGTATTTATAAAAAAAAAAAAATGACTAAAATAAAAAATAAAAAAATTAGAGATTACGGATAGAATTTAACCGCCAATATACTGCTACTCTCTTTGATTTGAATATTTATCTTTTTCTTCTTTAAAAAGAAAAGAAACCGAAATAGGAGGGAGAGATTGGTAAATTCATAGGCAGCCACGGAAGTAACACGGAATATGTCAACTGAAGAAAAACGGGTCCACATCATCATCTTATGGGCCCCACCCACACCCCTACACAATAATAAATATGCTATTTCAGTCAAAATCCTTCTCCGCTCCTTCCATTCCGACCTCCTACTTCCTCTCTCCCATTGTCCCTTCTTTATCCCTCTTAGTTTCTCTCGCCAATTTTGCCACACTTGAAATTTCAATTTACTGCCAACAAGGAAAAAAAAAAAAAACCTGAAGTCAACAACCAAGAAAAATCGAAATCTGGTAATCTGATCGGACGGTTTAAGGGGGAGGATGAGCACGAAGAAGAAAACGACGCAGGTTCAGAGGACGAGGACGAGGACTCGTGTAGGGAAGTACGAACTCGAAAGAACCTTGGGTGAGGGGAGTTTTGCAAAGGTTAAGTTGGCCAAGAATGTTGAGACCGGCGAGTATGTGGCCATTAAAATCCTGGACCGTGACCAAGTTCTCCGCCATCGAATGGTTGAACAGGTAAAACTTCCCTTCCCTTTCAATCTGCTCCATGCACATAAACATGAAGAAAGATTGCATCGAAGCTATCTCGGCCGTCATTAAACGTGCGACTCACGTAAACTCATTACAAAAAGTGGGACCACCTAAGACCCACGTTTAATGTGGGGTCCTCTGGTGAAAAGGCTGGGACTTGGGATTAATCGAATCTAGTTTTATGATTGTTGCAAAGTCTTTTAGTTAACTTGTTATGACCGTTTAACAAACTATTCAAGCATTAACATTTTTGGGTTTTTTCTTCTCATTAATGGTGATTTCATGTGGGGCAGATAAAAAGAGAAATATCAACAATGAAGCTTATCAAGCATCCCAATGTCATTAAAATATTTGAGGTAAATAAACTATTCCCCGGCGTTATGATGTATTATTTATTCATTTTAGCACGCGGCTAGCATTGCTGATTACAGTATTTAATTTAAGTTTCTTTGTTTTGAATGCATAGGTTATGGCAAGCAAGACGAAGATTTATATAGTGATCGAGTTTGTTGATGGAGGCGAGCTTTTCGACAAAATTGTAAGGAATCGTCGGTAATTTAGTTATGGGTATTTTATGGTTAAATGAATGTCTAACCGGACATGGAGTTTTTGTTCAACGTCTAAAAAACAATATTAGGTAGTTTATTGTTTATGGGACTAAATCTGTATTTGCAGGCCAAGCGCGGGAGACTCAAAGAGGATGAAGCTAGAAGCTATTTCCATCAGCTTATTAACGCTGTTGATTACTGCCACAGTAGAGGCGTCTACCATAGAGATTTGAAGGTTCAAACCTTCCCTTTTAATTAACTGATTGATGAGTGTGCTTAAAAGTTTTGGACTTTGGAGCTTGGGTTCTACTTCTAATTCGTAATAATTATGCATATTCCCGTTTTGCAGCCTGAGAATCTTCTTCTGGACTCTTATGGTGTACTTAAAATTTCGGATTTTGGATTGAGTGCTTTATCACAGCAAGTTCGGGTAAGCATGTTCTGCTTTCTTATTGACTAGAATGGTTTTATGATATTGAAATCTGGACCTGTAATGGTTTTTGGATACCCTAAGGTATAGATGTGATAGCGTATAATGCCCATTCTAAGGATAGCTAGGAAATAGGAAGGGCATGTGGGATTTTAAGCCACTTTTATATGGCATTGCATTCATAACATAAATCATTGATGCTGTGTGACGATACGTTTACCCTTGACCATTTAATTCAAAAAAAAAAAAAGTCTTTAGATAAATGGTGTTATACTTTTACAGAGATACTGTATAATCCTTTGCTTTTAAGAAAAAAATTAGTCTCTTATAGCAAAGTTGTAATTTTCCATTTTTTCATTTGCTTGGAAGGAAAGAAAGGAAAATTTTTCTAATATGATGGTTGAGATTCATAGCATGCGTTATTTTTTAGCTCAGCCATTAGATTAAAACATTTTCCTTTCTTTCCCTTCTTTCCCTCCTACCAAACAGAGTGTTAATGGAAAATGTCCAAGTCAAAGGGGGGGGGGGGGGGGAAGACTGAAGAAGACATGATGGAAATTATATATCCACTTAGTTAACAACATGTACTGGGAAAATGCTTGAAACAGTTGGTCAAGGCTTTTAGTTTTCAATTAAGATTCTATAAACTATCAATAATGGAGGAATAACCCATGTCTAGTAGTGTAATCTTTCTTTTCCTTTCTAATATGAATGCAACATTTTCTAAAATTCTTCCAAATGTAGGAGGATGGTTTGCTTCATACAGCCTGTGGGACTCCCAATTATGTTGCTCCAGAGGTATTCAGCCCTGACTTTATGAGTTGCAATGCTGCAACTTTTTCTTCACTCTGGTGTGTGACATTTTTCTTATCAGGTGCTCAAAGATCAAGGTTATGATGGTACATCATCTGATATTTGGTCTTGCGGAGTAATTCTCTTTGTACTTATGGCTGGTTATTTGCCTTTTGATGAGCCAAACCTTATAGCCTTGTATAAAAAAGTGAGTAATCCCAGATTTGGCTTCTCTTTTTAGATGAGAACTTCATTAAAACTGTTGGTACATCTTTATGTAATTCAGATATGGAAGGCTGATTTCACTTGCCCATCATGGTTTTCATCTGGTGCTAGGAAATTGATAAAGCATATTCTTGATCCAAACCCTCTTACTGTAAGTTCTAAAATCTATTCATGCTTTGAAACTTACTGATTAATTGCTATCTTTGTCCTCGGCATAGGTTCTATTCTTAAATGATAATAAGCATATTGAAAAATTAACTTCTTTTTTTTTTTGTTTTTATAAACATTAAACTTATTATGATAACATGCATTTCTGTTAAAACTCTGCCCTTTATTTGTCACAGCGTATAACTATTCCTGAAATCTTACAAGATGAATGGTTCAAGAAAGGGTACAAGCCACCACAATTTGAGCATGAGGAGGATGTAAATCTTGATGACGTAGATGCTGTTTTTAATGACTCAATGGTAAGACATTTTGTATTGGGTCTGTTTTGTTTCTCTGGGAAAAGGTTTATTATAAGCAAAATCTCTTGCAAGCATTTTACAATGCGGGCTGATACTGTTTTTTGTTGTCCAAAACTTTTGACCATTGACCCTGTTTGTGTCCGTTTCTTTGTGGACTATCTACTCAAAATGAAAGAATAATATGAGAATGAATTTCATTTGATGCTACTTCTCATTTGTTTATTTTGCAGGAACATCTTGTTACAGAAAGGAAGGAGAAACCCGTGTCAATGAATGCTTTTGAGCTTATCTCTAGGTCGCAAAGCTTTAGGCTAGACAATTTGTTTGAGAAGCAGAAGGTATCTGATTAAGATCCCTTTAGCTTTCCCTGTATTAAATATAGTGTTAATTAAAGAGTTTGAACAATTCCCTGTATTAAATGTTTTTAGCCTGTATCTCCACTTTCCATCTTATGAGAATTTTTTACGGCCTGCAATTCTGAGAAATCCTTTCTTAGCTAAGTGTATCATTTTTGTTTTGTCGGTTTGAAATGAAATTATAGGGCATTGTGAAGCGAGAAACCAGTTTTGCCTCCCAATGTCCTCCTAATGAAATTCTCTCAAAAATTGAGGAAGCTGCAAAGCCTCTGGGCTTTAATGTTCACAAGCGAAACTACAAGGTTTGGATTATCTATATTTATGTTGCACAAGCTAAGTTGCTTGCTCAGATTCTCTGTGATATGATTTGGGTTTTGCTTATTCAAAACTGCTAGTTCGTATGTTTATAAATTTTGTTTCAACTCTCACGTGTTTATTATATTCATATCATCACAGATGAAGTTGAAAGGTGACAAAAGTGGGAGAAAGGGACAGCTTTCTGTAGCTACGGAGGTACTGAATTGTTTGTTAACCGGTCAAGCACCTTTTTTAAGTTCTTTTGAATATGATGAAATTTACTGTTGATTGAATGAAGGCACATTAGTTATTCTCATTTGGAGTCTATATGATTTTGAATAATTTAAAGATGGGACAGGCAATGCAGGGTTATGATTACTCAAATATGTTTGTTGTCTCAAGCCTGGTTTTGCTCCAGGCTTGGCCTAAGTAACATTTTCTAACTTCACCTGAAAGGATTTAAGATCTAAGCTTGAGGGCTGATCCCCTCAAATGTATCCTGTTTTATTAAAATATTAGGACATGGTTTTTAATCTTTAATAATAATCCCTCTGTCCAAAAGGTAAGAAATCCAAGGGCTCAAAATCAATATTCTAGATATAGCGGAGCATTGCAAAAAATTTTCACTCAGCATCTACTCTTAAGATTATTCCTTATCAGAGAAACATGGAAAACTCATTGCTCTTTGACCTCAGGTGTTTGAGGTGGCTCCCTGCTTGCATGTGGTGGAGCTCCGGAAAACTGGCGGTGACACATTGGAGTTTCACAAGGTATACTTGCATAGTAGTTGCATTTAATTTTAGGTTTGTTGTTGGTGAAAAAATGTTTTGAATCCTATTACTTTAGTAACCCACATTAACTGGGATCCTTCTTGTCTGAGCCAAATATCCATTTGAATTTGTCCAATTAATAAGACGTCCAATCGTTTCTTTTCCTTCTCCTGTTTTATTGAAATATAAATGGATTGTTGAATGATTTCTTATCTGGTAATCCTTAGGCTTTTATAGGCTAATGCATTAATTCCTCTTTTAATGACAGTTCTACAAAAATTTTTCTTGTGGATTGAAAGATATAGTCTGGAAATCTGAAGAAATTGCTGAAGAGGAAAGGTGATCTCTCTCTCCTCACTTGATGTTACTGTTGTAATGAGCAAAGGTTTTATCGACTTTTGTAATTTGCTTTTTCAGGCCATAACTAAAACTACCTTGTTTTGGTTCATCCTTGCTTTAGCCTCATGCACGTATTTCTTGGAGTCGTTAGTACATACTGTTGGTTGCGCGGTAGGGGAAGATGAATGAATTAGATACCTCAAACGTGAGGCATGGTTCATTGCCCGGGTTCTTATATAAAGGGGGTTCAGCTTTGTTTACTTGGGAAGTAGTCAAATCCATTGAAAATTTGCAATTAGGTTACTGTTCATCAGATGGAGAAATGCTGTTCTTAATGCTATATTTTGAGAATATATATATTAATTAAATTATTATGTTGTAAAATGAATAAGCTAACGACAATTTGTGATATGTATCTCAATTTAATAACCACATCGTAAAAGAATAAAAAAGTAAACTCAACTTGATAGAAAATAGAAAATTAAAAAAATAATTGAACAAGGCCTTAAACCCTGTGAAGGAGAAGTAGCTGGTTGAATGCCGAGCCCCAAAAGGATAAAAAAGGCATATCCGGCTTAGTAAGTTGTAGCCCAAAAGGTCCATTACACATCTTGAGAAAGCCTGGTCATTTCACTTATTCAGTTCCTTAACTTCAAATATATCAATTTGAAATTTCAATGGTTAGAGTAAGTATTTTTCATCTCTAATTTTTTATTTTTATATTATATTCATTTTTGTGTTTATATTTAATGAATATTTTAAATTTATTTTTTTTCATGAGTATTTAATAGGTATAAATAATTTTTAAACTCTTAACTTTAAAGATAATAAAAACTAAAATTTATTTTTTAACTTTTTTTTAATTTTTATTTTGTATATTTAGGTAATTTATTTATAAATACATATTAATATATATCTTTAATAAAAAATATATTAATTTTAATTAATCTAAAATAATAATTTATATTATTTAATAAAAATTTTATTTATTAAATATATATAAATATATATAGGGTATGAGATGTGTATTATATTATCTGTTTTTATTTTTATACTAAATAAAAATTTAAAATTATATCCATTCTTATCTTTATATCAACAATATAATATCTATATTTATCTCTATTCGAATAAAAAATCAAAATTTTAATATCAATTCCTTCATCATCAGTTTCTTGTTCATTTTTCGCATTCATGACATACAATTAAGTCTATGTAGACATTTTTTTTCCCTAATATTTGGAACTACTTCCATTTAATTACTTTTATTTGATCCAAGCTATATTTTCTTTCGAGATGTGCTAAATGGTCTGAATTTAAAACGTGTTCACTATGCTCAATGATTTTGACCAAGGTACAATTAATCACTGAAACATTGTTATGGATATAACTTGAGTTTTATTTAATTTTGCAGTATAGTTTGATAAAAAGGTAGGGAGGATTAATCATGAATGTAATGTTGTTTAATGCAGAGAAAGAAACAAGACTCAACACTGCTAATTAAAAAATTAGGCATCAAATTATACCAAAAAGAAAAATTAGGTTTGGAGTTTCCATAAGTGCCATAAAACGCAGTAAAAAATAAATAAATAATAGCTATAAATTGGCTCAACCCTAGTTTCAACCAAACCCTTACTACTAGAGTTGAGATTTGGATTAAATTGTACATAGTTGGACTGACAACAATTGCTGCAGCAGCCGTCTGCATATATTAGGCCTTTTTTTTCAATTGAATGAAAACCGAAATCTAGAAGTAGCAAAAGGGAGGCCTTCGACGAGGAATGTGTGCCTATATACAATTTTGTCTTTTCATTATTTTGGCGGCTGGATTTTTTTTTCTTCAAATTTTACTTTTAATTTCTTCATTTTCCTTTGTTTACCATCTTTCATACAAAACGTAGTAATTTTCTTTTTGTTTTTCCTCTCTCCTGTCAAAAATAGTGTAAAGTCAAAGACCAAGACCAGATCGTCTGTTTCTATACCGGAATTTGGACAAGTTAGAGGCAACCTTCTTTGACCCTCTGTTTATTCTGTTCTGATTGCCAGTCACCTACAATCCACCGGCCCATTTTGCTACTTTCCCTTTAGTACCATTCTCTCTCTGTTGACCTTTTATGGTTGCTTCCCTTGCTTTGAAGGCCACGGGATCCCATTTACGTAAAACACCAGCGTTAATGATTTCTTGGCAATAACCAAAACACCATGCAATGGAAAACGAAAAGACTCTTTAAGCTTTCTTGAAAGAAACCTCGCAATCTCACATGGTGGCATATGCCTTAGGCCCCCACAATCCCATCAACAAAAATATAACTCCCAAACCCTGATTTTTTTTTTTTTTTAACTTTTTGACTCAAAGCGATGGGGCTTTAGTCCTTCATTATTTTATACGAATCCCATACTATATTCCTACGGTGGTTGAGCTATCTTTCCTTTCTCGGAACTACCCTCCATTAATTCAAGACTCTCTCCCCCTTCTTTTCTTGCAGTCATTGTTATATTAACTCTAGCTAGTGGTCTAGCTTCCCCATTGGTCAGGTTTCAGAGCTAATTTTCTCTAGCTTTATCCCACTCCTCCTACCCAACCAACTCTTTCTAGTTTCTAGGCCTTCTGCTCTTATTTAAGCAAATTTCCTTTTAGGAGATTTTATAGTTCAGCTTCTTATAGACAAGACAACGATCCCATATTCTTTAAGACCCCAAAAAGTGAGTAATTAGAGAGACGATATGGATAGGGATAGCATACAGATGGATAAGGAGAGGCTGACGGCGGAAATGGCATTCAAAGACTCCTCCTCCGCCGTTATCAAAATCAGGAAAAGATTGCCTGATTTCCTGCAATCTGTGAAGCTTAAATATGTAAAGTTAGGCTATGGTTATTCATGTAACCCCGCCACCATACTCATGTTTGCTTTAATCCTACCACTTTTCATCGCTACGTTGGTTCAGTTCACTAGTCTAAGATTGGACCTGGTTCCCGAGTTATGGACCAAACAAACCCTTCGACTTGAGAGCATTGATGCTGCTACAAGACTAGCTGGTTCACTAATCCTATTCTTCCTTTTTGGTCTCTACTATGCGAAGCGGTCTAGGCCGGTTTATCTCATCGACTTCGCTTGTTACAAACCTGAAGATGATCGTAAAGTGTCAATTGAATCGTTCCTGAAGATGAGTGAAGATAGCGGAGCTTTCACGGAGGACACGCTTCAATTTCAAAGAAGGATATCAACCCGGTCTGGTTTAGGCGATGAGACGTATTTCCCAAGAGGGATAACATCTAGACCACCAAATCTGTGCATGGAAGAGGCTCGATCTGAAGCTGAAGCTGTCATGTTCGGAGCACTCGACTCACTTTTTGAGAAAACCGGTGTCAAACCAGAGGATATTGGCATCCTTATCGTGAATTGCAGCTTATTTAATCCAACCCCATCTCTCTCAGCCATGATAGTCAACCATTACAAGTTACGTACAGATATCAAGAGCTACAATCTTGGAGGAATGGGCTGCAGCGCAGGCCTTATTTCAATCGAGCTCGCTAAAAACCTCCTTCAAGCCAATCCTAACACGTATGCCGTAGTGGTAAGCACTGAAAACATTACTCTGAATTGGTATTTCGGGAATGACCGGTCGATGTTGCTATGCAATTGCATATTCCGCATGGGTGGAGCCGCTGTGCTCTTGTCAAACAAGTCACGAGACAGGACTCGTTCAAAGTACGAGCTCGTTCACTTGGTTCGAACACATAAAGGCGCGGATGATAAACATTACAACTGCGTTTACCAAAGAGAGGATGACAAAGGAACTATTGGGGTTTCATTGGCTCGTGAATTAATGGCTGGGGCTGGAGACGCATTGAAAACCAATATCACCACTCTGGGTCCCCTTGTTTTACCATTCAGGGAGCAGTTCATGTTCTTTGTTACACTTGTTCGAAAGAAGATTTTTAAAGACAAAGTTAAGCCTTATATACCTGATTTCAAGCTTGCTTTTGAGCATTTTTGTATCCATGCTGGTGGAAGGGCGGTTTTGGATGAATTACAGAAGAATTTGCAGCTAACAGATTGGCATATGGAACCTTCAAGGATGACTCTACATAGATTTGGAAACACTTCAAGTAGTTCCCTTTGGTATGAGTTGGCTTATACGGAGGCTAAGGGTAGGATCGCGGATGGAGACCGGGTTTGGCAGATTGCATTCGGTTCGGGTTTCAAGTGTAACAGTGCTGTTTGGAGAGCTCTTAGGTCGACTCCCCTGAGCGAGTCAAGGGGTAACCCGTGGAAGGATGAAATTGACAAGTACCCGGTGAAGGTTCCTCTTGCTTGATATCTCCAATCGGTTGTTACATGTGAACTGTGATTAAGCAGATTAATGGTGACGGCCTGGCTGTGGCCTGTAGGGTTCATTCGTTTCTGTTCCTATAATCTCTGTGTCTGCCTCTTTCTTTCTCTTTTTTGTAATTTCGTATTTTTCGACAATCATGATGTCCTCAGTAATTAATCGGTAGTTGAAAGGGGAAAAAAAAAATTAACCCCACACCATTTGCTGCTGTAAGAAAATATTTCTCGTTAATGGAAATATAATTATTCTAATGTATAAAAAAAACAAAAACAAATTGAAATGATACTTATATAATTTATTTAGAATGAATATTCCTGTCGTTATAAAAAAAATACAAATGATAGATTTTGTGTGGTGATATGCAATTTGCAAATAAATATGGCGATGATATTTGATAAACACCTTTGATTCAAATTGGTTGGAAGTTCGGGAATTCTTTGTCAAATGTAACAACATGTGATCAATTAAGCTAATTTCCCTATCAAACCCTATATCTTTAATTAAGACAACATTATGAATATTTTAATATACATCAATATATAACAATTATTGTTATTTTTATTCCCACAAAAACACTTGAGATAACAGGTAAATCTTCTCAATTTGAAGTTTTGACAGGTTTAAAGGTGAATGGTTTCAATCATGTAATTTATTAATAAAATATTATACTTTAATTTTTGATAATTTTAAATAAAAAAATTAATGGGTTGACAAATGAATAAGTTATTTAATGTGTTTTTTTACCATAAATATCTTGAATAATTTTATTTAATTTTTTATAAAATATTATTTAAAGCGTTTTTTAAGCAAAAATATTTTGAATAATTCTAAAAAAAATGAAGAAAATTATTTAAGATAATTTTTATCAAAAACGTCTTGAATAATTTCCTAATTAAAATTGAAATAGATTATTTAATGTATTTTTTGCTAGAAAAGTTTTAAATAACCCCATTTAATTTTTTGTATGAAATTATTCAAGATGTTTTCTAATAAAAAAATACTTTAAATAATCTCCTCTCATTAAATAATCCCCTTATAAAAATTGAATGGGATTATTCAATACATTTTTCGTTAAAAATGTTTTGAATAACTTCATTCAATTTTTTATAATAGATTATTCAAAACGTTTTTTATCAAAATCGCCTCGAAAAATCTCATCTAATTTTTTATAAAGTATTATTCAAGAGGTTTTCTAGGCAAAAACGTATTGAATTATCTTTAATAAAAAATTAGAGGGATTCCTTTCATAAAAATTGAAATGAATTATTGAAAACATTTTTTATTAGAAAACACATTTAATAAACCTAATCAATTTTTTATAAGAGATTATTCAATACGATTTTTGACAAAAATATTTTGAATAATAAAAAAAAAGAAGTGATTATTCAAGATATTTATGCCTAAAAATGCATTGATTAATCCTCTCATAAAATTGAAAAAGATTATTCAAAACATTAAAGGCAAAAAAATACCTTAAATAATTTTTTTTTAATTTTTATAAGAGATTATTCAATGTATTTTTTATTAGATAATACTTTGAATAATTTCATTCAATTAATTGAATAAGGTTATTTAAATTATTTTCATATATACTAAGAAGATTATAATAATTATATAAAATTTAATATATGTGAATTTTTTTTAACTAAACGAATAAATTTAAATATAAAATACCTTAAAATTATACTTTTTTATATATCACATTTAAAAAAAATTATAATTTCACGAATTAAACATCTCTTAAGATTATCATTATCTTTTTTATTATTTAATTTTTTATTAATAATCTGTTTGTCATGTTCTACAACACTTCAATAATTTGTCACCCAACTTTATTTACGTAATAAAAAAATATTAAAGTTTAGTTTGATAAATATTTATCTTTTTTTATTTTTTTGGATAATTGAAAATTTATTCCAACTTCCAAAGAGAAAGAGGTCCGGTCACCTAAATTAATTAGAGAAGGCAAAACAAGCACGTGGGCTATCTGTCTGTAACTCAGGTCGGACCCTATTTCCCAGCCGGCTAACATATCCAAACCCACCAAAAATCAGCAACTCTCACCCACTTTCCCATCAACGTCTCAGCCAATTCCCGTTTACCTCGTCAACCAGCCGCCTCCAACGGAGGCAACAACCCCAAGCAAGAAGAGAGAAAGGAGGTAAGCGGATCAGACGTGTTTGAGCTTTGCAGAGAGCAGCCGCCCAGAAGAAGAAAGCCCAGAGAAAGAAGAAGGGATTGGTAACATCTGATGCCGGTCATGGAGAAAAGGATGGCATTAATTACACTAATGCTAGGCCCTTGGAAATAAAGAGTGCGTGGAGTCTTGAGTTGGATGAGCTGGAAGAGACCACATGAATCACGCTTCTTTTTTCTTTTTCTTTTTTTTTTTTTTTAATCTTTGCATAATTCAATAGTTATATGCAAGCTGTCATTACCGTTTAAACATTCAAAATATCTATTCCTAAAATTTTGGCCTGAAACTTGAAATTCAAGTTGCAGAATGTCCTTTTCTTTGTTAGCTGTGCTTGACTCACTTAGAGGGTTTTGTGATTTGGAACATGTTTTTGTTTGGCCATTGAACATGATTTCCTTTTGCTGGATTCTCGGAGTTCGACTTGATTGGAGGAAAATAAGTCTAGCACAGATGACAATCTTTCTTAGCAATAATAATTGAAGTTTGTTTTCATTTTCAGTTGGTCCTGTTTGCTCATTGTTTGCTGCACTTTCAATGTTTCCAAAGTCAGTCTCTTTTATCTAACAAGCAGGCTAGATCGTGAGTCACTGATGGAATTTAGCTACAGAAATAACTTTTTTAGGCCTGACCTCTTTCCTTTAAGATCTAAAAGAGAAGACAAGCCAGCAAAAAGCGAAAAAGGTGAAGCAGAAGGAAAAAGAAAACAAAGATGAAGCAGCCTGCACTAAAATAATTAGTTGAAATTTACCCAAAACCAACCCGGCCATCCATGAAACCGAGAAAATTACAAGGAATCGATTTTAACTTGGATTATGGACTGGAGCCAGTACAGCCCTTGGAACAAAGGCCAACTTTTGTTTCCTGCTATATGACCATAAAACAAAACCACGAATAACAGCTAAAACTTGTCAATCAATACTTCAACTGCCTCTCCTAAAGGCATTTAAGTTCTATATGATGCTCCAATTTCCCGATTCCAACTTTTTTTTTTTTAATTGTTTCAAATTTTCTTGTTCTTGATTTTGGGTGGGGATGAACTGGGGGAGAGGGTGAAAGAGAGACGCAGGGTGGCCAAGGAGTTTGTTATTTTTTGTCCAATAAACAGTCACCCAACTACAATGTCTCCTGTTTTCAAAAAACTACAACATGTCTCTACACTTCTACAAACTAGTAGGGTCGATACCTTCTACTGCGGTTGCCATCATCACCAGCACTACTTCCACCTCGCCCTGCTGGTCCACCTAGACCATTGCTCCGATCAACTCTTCGAGGACGAGGGGTTGGCATCTGCACTCCAGGCTGCTGGCTGCACCAATTCCAGAAGAGCAAAGGCAATTGTTAAAAGTGTGTTGTCATCCAAGTAAAAAATTACAATTTTAACAAGAGTAAACTTACAGGACATATCCTATTCGGCCATCTGGTAGAACCATGGGTACCATAGCCATCCCTGCTGGCATTGGCCCTCTTCCATATATTACTGGCTGTACATGTGCAAGATTATGCATTACTTTTACCAACTAAGGAAATGTATCTAAGAAGAAAAATAAAAATCAACCAAAGTACCTGCTGAAAACTAGTAGCAACACCAAATCCGGCACTTATAGAACCATATGAAGCTCCGGTAAAACCACCATACCCAGGATGCGGAAGATGGTTTGGATGAAGCCCAGCACTGTAAGGGTATGCTGCATCAGTTTTCTTATCAGTCTGAGGTTTGGCAAGGACAACCTCCAAGACTTGGCCTACAGTAAAGTCAGTCAAACATTTTTAGGGGAAAGGCAATCATTATAGCATATAAAATAAACTTCAAAGCTAAATCTCATAGACAACCAAACTAGGGGGTGCCTTTATATGTCAAAAGTAGAGTTACGTTTATTTAAGAAACCAATTCTAAACAAATCCTGATATCAATGGAAAGTAGTTTTTCCAGATATATTTCTTAAGGCAATATATTTACAAGGACCTTCCTCTGATGTTATTAGATCATTTAATTTATTATCTTAATTTCTTTTGGTCAACAATTTCTAATCTTAATTAGAATCCTCAATTTTCCAAACTGATGGCTATCTCCTCAGTCTCAAAATCAGTACACCCGAAGTTGATCACATGCAGTAAAGAGAGTATATCAGTAAGTGTGCTGCACCCTGTTTTTCCTTAAATAATTTTTGAAGATAGCCAGAATGATTTAAGCAGCCGCCAGACCAATCAAAACTATAATTTTTCTTCAAAAGAGTATGAAGTAATGCAGAGAAAAATTACCATCTATTTCATACTTCTCTGTATCTTTGACAGCCTTTAAAGCACTTGACCGTTCAGCATAATGTATAAACCCAAAATCCCGCTTCCCAGCCTTGCCAGGTGGCATAACCACTTTTGTTACTTCTCCATGGTGCTGAAATACTTCCTTTAGTTTCTCAGTAGAAGTGTTATCAGGAATGTTTTTGACATACAGAGCCTTCACCTGGTAATTCCAAAACATGCAACATAGTTAGCCCAAGAGGTTACAACATGAAAATCAGATCTTTGCTTTAGCGATGTACTTATAAAAGGAGGTTACATAAAACCAATTATTATCATTTGGAAATTAATAATCCAAACGAGGAGCTCATGAAGATTTCCTCCCTGTTTAAAGAAAAAAAAGGGGGGGGGGGCGCAGGTAGAGAGGGATACAGAAGAAACTCAATGGGGGTTCCTCAAGACGGCAATTAAAAGTATATCTCAAGTTCTAAGTTGTTCTAATTCCATTAGACTCTACCTGCGAAGCAGCAGAATGATCAGGTGTACTCTTTGGATCAGCCCAGGTGACAGTAGGGGTATTGCCATCAAGCTTAAAATTTGCACTTGACATTTTCTGCCTAGAATAATCAGCGCAGGCATTGTTGTAGTACAAGATAAAAGCAAAACCACGATTTCGGCTTGTATTTTGAGGATCCTGTAATTCACAAATTGAAACGGTAAAGGGATTTTTCAATATTCACCCTTATTATAATCTAAAAGTATCATCTAGTTCAAAATTCCACCTTTATGAGTTCAATATTTTCAACTCCAGGACCAACACCATCAATGACATTTCTGAACTCATCCTCAGTCCAGCTCTTCGGAACATTACCAATAAATAATCTGTTCTTAGTTTCAGAGAGAGAACACCTTATGGTTTTACCCTGTGGAAATTATCATGCATATTAAAAAGAAATACCAAACTGCATTGTTAAAAAAAGCAATGGAGGTGACTATGTTGCATCAGCAAGATATCTAAAGCAAATACAAGAGGCACCAAAATTACCCTGATCTCTTTACTGTGCAACTCTTCAATTGCCTTTTGTGCAACTTGTTTCGATTTGAATGCCAAAAAAGCATAACCCTTGTTTTCACCAGATTCCTTGTCTTTCATTAACCGTATCTGCAAAATAATTTACTGTTAACAATGAAAATCCTAAATTACTAAAAGAAAAAAGCTTGAAGATCACAAGCACAAAGTTGCAACCTCAAAAATTTCTCCTATTGATTCACAAATTTCTCTCATGTCTTCTTCTGAGGCATCCTTTGGAAGCCCTCCAATGAAAACCTCAGAACCATGCGGAGGCAGGGCAAGAAGTTGAGCATGCTTCTCTTTTTCTTCTTCACTAACAGAAGCCTCGGGCTTTTCTTCATATTCCACGTGCTCTATTTCAATGTGGCTTCTTTCTACTTCTGATGATTGATCTTTTCCATCCCCCCCAGATTTGGAGTCCCCATACTCTTCTTCATCATTTTCTTCCCCATTTCCATCACCACCATCATCCACTCCGTCCTCATCTAGATGTTCTTCAACATCATCATCCTCTTCCTCCATGTAATTGTCGTCAAGATCCACCCTCTCATCAACTTCTGCATTCTCCGCCATTTCTGCTTCTTTTCCCAGTTCAGCTCATCAAATAACTACAAAAGAAACCACATTATATGTTTATACAAAAACATGTTCCAGTGTGCAGTAACAAATGAAAATTCATAACGTTTAAAATATTTCAGTCCACAAAATCAAAAGAAAGCAAAAAAAGATGAACCTCTGAAGAGGTGAAAACAGCCCGAAAGAAAGAATGAATAAAAAAAGAGGTGAAATTTCTTTTCTTTGATTTCTCAGCAACCAAACAGAGCTGTACTGACATTAATATAAAACTGAAGGGTAAAAAGGAACAAATTGCCCTCACAAAATTCAAACAGCGAAAAGAAAATCAAATTCTAAAAATTTGAAATAAAAAGAAATAAATTAAAATAAAGTAGCAAACCAGGAATCAATTTCTCTCAAAATGAACTGAGATTGAAACAAGGGCTAGAAAGCGCGTCAACAGAAAAAAGAATCCCCAATTCAATGAACCCTAAAAACCCAGTAACAAATTGAAGAAAGTTGAAAACTTTTCAATGCCAGAAACATAAAACCTTTTTAGACAAAAGCTTACGACTTTAAATTTTCTATTAAATTCCGATGCAAAATATAAAAAATTGTAACAGCGAACTATAAGCAAACAGATAACAGTTAAAAAAAGATGTAAAAGTGACAAAATCCAATCAAAATGAGGCAAAAAAAAAAGATTTAAGGCAGTTTAAAACAAAAATACTAGAAAAATAAAAGAAATAAAAGAGGGTGAAATTTGAGCTTACCGATTGATAATTTATTGGCTTTGTGAGATTAGATTTGATGGCTTTAAGAAATTTCTTGGAGTGGTGTTTGAAAAATATATTTGGATTGAAATTTTTTGGTACTTTATTTTTTCTCCGGTGCTTCTTCTTATGATGTTTATTATCCGACCAGCCGAATGAGCGTGATCGTTCGTTCCAGAACCACCCTAACTGGGAAGTGCAAGGATACGGTTTGAGGTTTGCTGGTATAATGGGAGTGACAAATCAAACGGAGCCACGTATTTGACATGTGGGTATTTGTTAATTGGTCCAATGAATATAGTCGTTATTGATTTTTTCGACGTGTATTTTAAAATGGAGTATAGGTAAATTTGTTTTTCATATATATTGTCTTGTATAAGTTAACAAAAAATCAAAGCCTAATCAGGAAACTTTTGGGTCTCATGGTCGGGTCCTGTCGTGTCATGACTAATTCAATTCCTAATTTTTACACGAGTACAAACTCTTGCATTTTGAAAAGTTTTTCCTGGTCTACACAAATAGCCTTTGCTTGGAGCACAATGAATGTCTTGTGAGCAAATGCACAATCCTTCTAAAGCACACCCTTCCTTCATTGTTGTGATCCCATTTCTCAATCCAAGAATCTGGTCAGTCCACTCACTGGAAAAAAGCTCTGATGGATCGTACATATTCTTAACCTTTAAGAATTCTCCACCATTTTTGTATTTCTTGATCACCCCATCGAATGCCAGGTTCCGATTCTTCCCCCAATGTGGCAAAGCTCCATATTTGAACAGCGCCATTTGTTCAATTTCTTCTAAAATATCTTGGTAAAGCCTTGGAGCCATGGGATCTTTGCTCCTATAATAGGTGATGTCGAAATCTATTGCGTCTTCTTGTTTGCCTAAGTAAGCACTTGAAGCCTTAACGTAACGCATGAGGATTCCATTGTAAAGGTCTAGCCCACATAATGCTTTAGGCTCCAGTGCTACTAGTTTCTGGACGTCTTCGATGAAGCTTTTCGCTACTGACAAACCAATGCTGAATGTAGTTTGGTGAAAGAACTCACCCTTGATTCTTGGGTCCCAAGCGCATGCGGTGATCAGCGAATCATCAATACTATCCAGGCAAGTCCCCGATGATTGAAGACGGTCGTGAAATCCAATTACTGGATAGCCAGTAAAAATTATACCTGCAATCTCACAAACAAAATAGAAAGAAAAAAGAAAAGAAATTTTAACGAAATGATCCAAAATAAATTGATGTTAATCATATATATACCCTGCAATTTTTATTTAACGGAGTCAAACAAATAGGCTAACGCCATCAAATTTGCCCATAATTACTAGTAAGATTTTAATACCGTTGTTTGTCAATCCATAGGCAGCCGTTCGCAGTGTAGATGTAACTAGCTTTGCACTGAGGCACTTCCCATCAGCGTCTCTCAAGGATTCTTGGGTTTCCTCTGATTCATTGAAGTAATTATAAACAACTGAATTAGTTTGAATGTCTGGTAAAGGAGCTACAGGAGAGTTAATTTTATAGTAATAGTCAAGTGCATGCTGATCATCAACCAACCTGTACTTCTGAGAAGTGCCAAAGCAAGTGAAAGAATGGGACGAAATGGAGTAAAATCATAGAGACCATTTCCGGATGCATTAGAGGAGACCCGATCGTCGATTCTGTAAACAGCCTTGCGTTGGCTAGGATACCAAAATATGTCTGCAAACTCGTGCAGTTTGCCAAAGGTCATTGCTTCATCTCCCAAATCTGTATCATTCTTTGTTACATAAGTAACGGAACGTTTGAACAGGGGTTGAAGTTTGAACGTCACCTATATCAAAGAGGGAGAAAAATGAAGATTTTTTTAAAAAGAAGAACGAAATTTATGTACTTATATTCATGGTTATTGGTTAAGACTGCATTTAGAACCATAATCCCCCACATTCCTAGCCAAATTTGTTTTTGTTTTTTTCTAGTATCGTCTTATTTTGTTTATGGCATTTTTTACATTTTAGGCTTCTAAGTTATCAAGTCATGACAATTAAATAAAAGTACCACCAAAGTTCTTTCAAGAAGCTTATCCATGTATTTTCTCCGCAAGGAAAACATTTTCACCTGTAGAGCAATTATAATGGTGCTCCTGCTCCAAGCAGGCTTTTATTCCATTATTTCCATCAAGGCCCTAACTTCAAGATATTGTAACCTGTCCATTTTAAAAGCCTTTTTCCTAGAGAATAACCATAATTTAATTAAATATTCCCATCTTGCTCATGATTATTCATAAATAACTTTATGTAATGTAATAAAAAATCAAGGGATTAAATTGATCCTATGGAGATACTTATATAATTTGAAATTTTAAGTTGAAAAACAAATTTCATTACTTGAATGAGAGTGGTATAATATTATATGGGAGAAGACATAACTCTTATTTTTCAATTCAAAATTACATGTAAAAGAAAAAACATGTATTAAGTGATAGGATTGAGGAGATTAAAATTTATAGATAAGCTTTTTATATGTATGATATGATATTACATATTACATAATTTGTCTCTTTATGAACATATATCATGCTTGATTTGTTTGTTTCTAGGTCTAATTATAAAATTCAGAATTTTTTTTTTTTTTTGCTGGAGTTGGACACGACCTTGCGGCAATGCAGGTAATTACTATCATGTTGATAGGGTTTGCATTTTGTGCACTCATTTTTGGTAAAGCCTCCTTACAACAGCAGATTAAGCTAGAAAGGAAAAGATGCGATGGCCTTTTAACTGTATATAATATTAATAGAAAATTTTTGTTCAGAATATTTAAAATCTAACCTAGCATTGAGCGTCTGAACCTAAAATTTCTATTAATAGGGTTTATCGTGTATTTATCTTTTTATTGAAAACATGGAGTCAAGTTGTTCATTCGTAAATTTAAGAGTTAAATTTTAATATTTATAATTTTTTATTTTTAAATTATAATTTTTATTAAAAAAAAAAAGAAGAAGGCTTCTCATTAAGCTTTGGTTAAAACGTGGAAAACTTTAAGAAAATGGAAAAGCGGGGTGTTTATTGGGCAACTAAATTTTTAGTAGCTTATAAAGGATTAAAGAAATTAAGATTAAGTAATTTTGATTGGGATTAATTTGAGCGAAATGGGACATGATCCTTAAGGAATCTTAGTTCAACATTGCTCCAAAGAAGATCCTTTTTAACTTGAACTGATAAAGACATAAAAGAATTGCCTATTATTAATATTATTAAAACTATTTCTATCATATTTATGTTTGTCGTAATAAGATAGATAGGTGACATCTAACTAGACTGATTAGTTTTAAAAAATCCTGAATTTTCTGTCCTAAATGCGTGGTACAAAGTGAGTGATGGAATCGAAAACTTTTCAAAAAACAATTTGCAAACAAAATTTTATTTTCTTATTGACAGAATGAATAGCATAATCACTTGATGAAATTACTAATTCATATAATCCAAAAGAGAAAATGACTAGATTTGATAACCAGAAACGCTGTTCGATCAGATTATTTTTCTTATGTGGTGTCAACCAATGCGGGAGAAAGCACCAGCAGCGTGAAGCCAAAACGATCATCAAAAAGAACAAAAACAATAGGGATCCAAGAAGTAATTACCTGCGAAATTACCCCAAGGACTCCGAGTGAAACCTTAGCTGCATCAAGATCTTTGTCCCTCTCATTCAGGACCCTGACCTTAGCGTACCCTTCTTTAGGTCCTGCCGGGCTTACAATTCTCATATCCATGACATAATCATGAACTGAACCTCCTTTCCCCCACAACGAGCTCCCATGAGCCCCCGTGCCTATAAGGCCTCCAATGGTCAGCCCCCACCAATACGGTGCATACGGTAATGCTAGGCCAGCCTTGGCGGCATCATTAATGAGTTGCCTCAACGTGACACCGCTCTCCACTGTCATTGCCATTGCCTCCGCATCGACTTTTAATACATGGTTAAGGTATTTCGTGCTAATAAGCAACCCGTCTTGGCCGTCGGGGCAAACCAACTTGGGAATGCTATGGGAGAAACGTGTTACCACTTTCATTTTTCTTTTGGCTTCGGTTGCTGCTGATACAATCGAAACAAGCTCTTGTTCCGTGGTTGGGAAAGCCACATTCCCCGCTCGGCAAACTGCTCGATCGGCGAAAGTGCCATAAGAATTTGTGATTGTGCAGTTCGAATTTTTAGTGGAACATTTGACAGGCTCCTCTGGAGGGCTGCAACTCACCATAACAACCAATAGGAAAAGACATTTCGATCGGAGAAACTCGGGAAACTTGTTTGTCTTTTTAGAATACGACATCGGTATGGTTGGAAAGGTTGGAATTTTGCTTGGTTATATAATTAATCTGTCAACTGTAGAATAGTTGATATGAAACTGCAAATTCACACCTTCTATATCTAGTTGTGTAGCGTAGAAGGGGCTTATGGCAGGCGAGAAACACAACAAATAGGTGCTTTGAAGTTAAGGACTTTTGATAACGTTAGTTCTTTATTAGTTACTTCTTCTAGCCTTTTGTAATAGTTTTAATACTGCTATTAAAAAGTAGAAATTGTATTAATTCCTTTATTGGGGTATCCTTTTCTAATTACTTGTTCGGTCTAGTTAATTTGTAACAGTGAAACTCATGTGATTGGTATAGTAATTTGTTTTGCTTGTAAAAAAGTCCATTGGATGAGAAGCTCGATCCAATACTAAAAACTGATAGTTGGGACTAGAAAGCTTCATGACAAGTAGTAGTATTAGTAGTTGGTCACGGTTATTTAAACTTAAAATCATCGGGTTTCGTTGCTTTGTAAACATGGAGCTTTGAACTATAAGTTGGCTCGCCCATGCGTGGAAAACAAAGAAAGAACAGTTTACGTTCTCTCTCTCTCTCTCTCTCTTGCAACTTTGCAAACTTTCTGTCAAAGCATATGATACGAGAGATATATAAATAGTGGAGGAAGTGATGACTGATCATGAGCACTGAAATGTGCTTGAGATTATTTCACCATGATCAGTGCGTACCAGTTGGGGATGTTGGAGCCGACACGCTTAATCTCACAACTCAGAAAACCAAAAATTTCCCAACAGGATGAGTCCTGGCCATTATGCCACATCAAAAGAATTCAAGTCAGTGGAGACGACATTATGTGGTTGTTGTGGCAACTTTGGTGGGTTCCGACTTCATTTTAGTTCGCCGGTTTTTTTCATTTATCCTACACACTTTTCTGCTCGTTTTAAAAATTAACATCCTGCTCTGACATGATTATTTGACTGACATTTTGTTAGGTGAGATGCAATAACCTTAGATCTGTTCCATTCGTAACAACTCTTTGAATTCCTTAAAAACAGCTCTTCAATTTTCCCATTCCCAAGTATAGACAAATATTTCTTTACAGTGACGCAAAGTAATTATTAAACATAACTTCTTTGTAACATACTTGCATCCCTTAAATTCTAAAGTTCCACACTTACAAACTTTTAGACAACTTAATTGAACAATGAAATGCTTCTCACCCATATCCCAAACTTGAATTTTAATTTGTTTCATTACAATATTTTCCAAGTGGGAATATTATATTTCCAAAGCCACTATTTGATGAATCATTATTTCCACTCTAATCGCCTATTAACTTTCTATATCAAAGTTTGTAGCAAAAAAAAAAAATTTGTATATCATACTCCCAAGTCAACTAGAATTCGTTTCCAATATTTGTCACATTAATTATTTCATCTTAAACATAAATTGGTGGTCCAGAATTATTTGTGGTTGTGGGGGTCCTTTAAGGCTTGTATAAAATTTTGTTGAACTTCAATGAATTCATAGTTGAGAATGAATTAATTTGTAATAAGACTGTAGTTTATATATTGTTACTCCAGAAAAAAAAAAAAAAAAAAAAGAAAAAGAATAGACATTGCTTATTTGCTTTTTCCATGGCGTGGTTTTATTTAAAGTAAATCAACGTCATAAACGAGCCATAGTTTTTGGTGTTTTAATTCTTAAGTGAAAAAAATATATATATTTTGTCTGAATCAAGTGCATTGAGATACTGAAGTTCCGAAGAAACAGAAACTCGGAAAAATTCCCTTAAAGGGATCTTGGATCTTAGCTACGCTTAGTCAAAATACGCATTAATCTTCCCCAACGTTCCAAAGTCAAGCTTTTGGATCATTACTTGAAGAAATAAATTAAGCAGGGTTTTAACACCACAAGTATTAACCTTATATACAGCATTCGTATTATGGAGCGAAGAAAAAGTAATTTCATTGGCTACTAGTGGAAAATGTAAAAGAAACCACACGGCTTGGAGGTGAAGGAGGTTGGCACTACTGCACAAGACACGGGCTATCAAGAATCCAAACTGGAAAGATTTGACTTGTTACAGATAAAGGAGGTGAAGGTAGAGTCTTGCCTTGGTTAATCGTGGAAAAACTTTTGAATCCAAGAGAGTGGAGGGTTGAGGGATTCATGAATCCTTGAGCTACAAGTGTATTGGTTTCAGTTAAAATCAAGTTCCGATGAAGCTGCTGCATACATTTTGATTAGTGAAACAAAGATCATTAGAATCAAAGCTTCAGTTGGTTCAGTCTCCTTTAATTGGTGACGTTCAACAAATTTTGAGTTCAAATCAATATATCTACATTTTCTTTCTCTATATCCATGCTATGCGGCTTCCTATATACCACAAAAAAAACAAATATCATTATTGGAGTTAATTAAATTTGATTATGCGTCAATTAGCCACTTGATACAGTTATTCATTAGGCCAATGCAATTTGATTCTAGGTTAATACGTACGTAAATTAATGGAGGTTGCAGCCAGCCATTGGCCATGGACCTACATAGTTAATTTATGTTGTCTTAGTCTTGATGCCTGATCTGATTTTTTTTTTTTTTACCTTTTGTCAATTTAGTCATGCAATAATTAAAAAAATTCATATCTAGCTTTCAAACAAAAAAAAAATGTATAAAGCCAAACACTTGATATAGTTATGACTTAATTGTGATTTTAATAAATTAATAAATGATGATGACTGGGGTTGATATCAATTACTAACAGCTCATTGGATAATTAAGATTTAGCTTAACTTTTATGTCTAAGTTTGTTAGGTTTTGCTAAGAAGGGTTTAATTAACATTTGCTTGTAAGTATTTTTTAAACTTAATTTTTTATTTTTTATTTAATGCATTATTTCACTAAATTTTAAGTAAAAATGAAATATTAATTGCAAAAAAAAAAATTGTAAATATCATCTTAACAAATTTTCATGTGCACTCTCTAACATTTTAATAGGAAAAGTAAAACACAATATGTTCTAAAAAATAAAAATCGTTGACATTTATGATTGTCTTGACTCCTTGAGTCAAGAAGTAGCCTGCGGTTTATTTTATTTAATCTTTGCCTCATTGAGCCTGCAATGATCCTATAGCGAATCCGATGATCACAATTAAACCTGAAAAGAGGGCTAAACATGGGCTGGCCCATCTTCACTTGCAAGTTGAAGTATTCGACTTGAAGACACAACCGAACAAACTATAGATGGCAAGCTCATTGAGCTAAATTGATTGCCTGGCTAAGGGTAATAGGAACTACTGTACTAGTATAATTATAAATGTAAATAGCTTGTTTTTATCTATATATTAAATTTTTTACTGAATTAATATCACGAGTCTAAGTACTCAGGTTACTTCAACTCGAAATTAATTAAAAAAAGCAAATTATACAATAAAAGATTAATAACATTCATAATCTCTAAATTTGTACTCAAATTTTATTTTTATTTTTTATTTATAAAAATTTTTAATTGGATCTTAAATTATCTAAAATTATTCAATTTTGGTCATTTCCTTTATAAAATCATCTAAATTGATGGTAAATATCAACTAACGTCACATAATGATGTTAGCTAATATCTTATATAGTAAATGAAGGATTAAAATAAAATATTTTTTCAAAGTTTAAAGATTAAAGGTGAAATTATATAAAAAATTTATATATTTCATATATATATGTATATATTATAAAATATAAAATTACATCTTTATATTTTTGTTGTAATATAATTTATTAGTTTTACTTTTTTTTTAATAAAAAATATATTTTTTAAAATTAAAATTAAGTTGAAAATTAAATTCTTTTTTAATTCAATATCATTTTAAAAAATTATTTTCTATTAAAATTATTATTTTACTCATAAATTATAATAAAATATTATTATCTATCAAATATATATTTAAAATATTTAAAATATTTTATATTCCTTTATCAAATATATTTTATAAAAAGAAAAAAGAAAAATATAAAATAATTAAAGAAAATTTTATTTTTATATATTTCAAATATATTTTGAGATATTTATAATTTTAAATATTTTAAATTTTATTATGATATGATTTATTAAAAAAATAATATTGTTAATACAAAATATTTTTTTTAATTCAAATTAAGTTAAAATTTTCAAAATAATTTTTTAAAATTACATATCATTTTAAAAATTTAAGTAAAAATTTCTATACTAGTTTAATAAATTAAATAAAAACTCCATATCATTTTAAAATATTATGTAAAAATTTTATATCATTTTAAAAAATAAATTTATTAATCTATTCAAAATTTTATTTTCTATACAAAATTTAATTTGAATATTTTTTTTTAAAAACTTTATATTCATATAAAATATTATAATTTAAAATATTTTATTTTTTATTTTTATATGACATATTTCATAAAATATATTTAAAATTAAAAAATAAAAGATATTTATTTTAAAAATTAACATTTTTGGATAAAAAATATGTTCTTTATTATGATTTATGATAAAATAATACTTTTAGTAGAAAAAAACTTTTTTTGTTTTTAAAATGTCAAAATATATTTTTTATTATGATTTACTAGTAAAATAATATTTTTAGTAGAAAATAACTTTTTTTTTTGTTTTTAAAATGTATCGATTTTTTTAAAATGGAATTTAAATTTTTTAACTTAATTTTAAGTTCTGGATATCTATTTTATATTTAAAATAAAAAATCTAACTTATAAGTTATGTTACAACAAAAAATATAAAAATATAATTTTAAACTAATATTTTGATAAAATATGTATAAAATGCATAAAATTTTAAGATAATTTCATCATTAGTATCTAAACTTTGATAAAATTTTATTTTAGTCCTTCTTTGCTACCATGAATACCAGCTAATATCATCATATGGTACTAACTTGCATTTATCATCAATTTATACTGTCTCATAGACAGAAAGGCCAAAGTGGAACAACTTTGACAATTAAGAATCTAATTAAAACTTTTAAAGATTAAGGACCTAGATAAAATTTAAGTAAAAAATTATAAACTACAAATGCTATTAACCCTACAATAAAATGTTATATTAATGAGATTAAATGACAATTTTTTTTCTTAAAAATATAGTGTGAATCCATATTTTAAAATTCAATTATTTTTTCTTGATTTTAAAATCTTGTACCTATAGATATTTTATTTTTTATTTTTTACTTTTCAAAGGTTTATATTTGATGTATTGTTAATATATAAATTATATATTTTGTTAATAAATCAAATGATCTAGTCTCATTAATAAAATTAATCAAATAATATTATCTCATTAATGACTATTTTTTTAAAAAAATATTAATTTTTTACATATTTATTTTAAAAATTGATATTTATTTATTAATAAAATAATATCATATGATTTACTAATAGTATATAGAATTTATATATTAATAATATATCACATATAAATTTTTTTAATATTTATTTAAATAATCAAATTATATCTATTTCACCCGCATGTATAAGAGGTATGTATAAAGCTTGAATTTTTAAAAATGGTTGGCTATGAACACTAAAAATACAGTTTTTTATTTTTTATTAAATTGTGAATTTTACTTGATTTTTGTTTTTGTTTTTTGTATAATCAACGATAATATAGAAACAAACAAGGAGGAATTCAAGTAAAATAGGCCGTTCGGCCAAAATATATCGAGCTGCTGGGGTTTGGCCCAGCGGATCATGTTCCCCTCCAGGGGGTTGATTTGCAGGGTTGAAATCTTGACTCCGTTTGGGGTTATATCCCTATTGCATAGCAATAAAATAAACTAGGTGTGAATTTCCTTTCTTATTATTCAAAAACAAAAATCAAATACCCAGTTAAAAAATAAAGAATTGTAATAGGATTCTAAGACGCGGGATAGCCGGAACTGGCAAAAGCATTTTAGGCTTTTAGCTACCACAGACTGTGGGGTCTGATAGAGCTTGGTGTCTGTTAAATGATGTGCCAGTGCTGCTGTCAATGCTTTCCCCAATCAGATGTGTCTCATCAATGATTTTGAGTCCTTGAGATAAAATCTAACGCTTTTATACTCACGGCTACAGAAGTTAACGGATCAAATCGAATTTTTATTTATTTTAAATTTAATTTAATTTTATATTTATTAAATTTAAATTTAATTTGATTTAAATTTTTGTTTAATATTTGAATCTAAATTCGATTTGATATTTTGTATAAATTATATTTAATTTGATTCGAAATTAATAAAATATTATTTTATAAATATATAATTATATAAATATATAAATAAAAAATTAATTTTATATAATATTAAATTGGATCAAATTTAATTCAAATTCGATTCGATTTTTATTTTTTTTAACATTATTCGATTTGATTTAATTTAAAATTTATTTTTTTTAAAAAAAATTGATCTTACAATATCAAATCGAATCGAAATTTATTAGACAAATTGGATTGTTCACCTTACTCATGGGAGATATCAATATCTGAATCCTATGGGATTTTGGGTTCTATTTGTGTTGGTGAAATAATGTACCGTTGGCAAGGGGAAAAAAAAAACTATAAATGTCTAACAATTAAGCAAATAAGCACCAAAAAAATAGTAGATAAGCACGTTTCAGATAACCAACATGTGAAATGAGAAAAGTAGATCGCCAAGTTTCACTGTCATCATAAATTAGAACGAAGAAAATAGAATAAGAAATTGTCATCATGAAATTCTCAATTTTCAATGAATGCTTCTTTGCCCTTCACTCTACCTCCCAACGTGCAATGAACGAGCACAAAACATCCAGAGGCCGGGGTATCTTTTCTTCAAACCCAAAACCCCGTGATCATTATGAATTTCTGTGAAAGATAAGACTGGCAATGGGCAGTGGCATAAATCATAGCACATGCTCTGTTTCAGCTCGTCCTCATTATTGTGATCAGGCTGCTCCTTTTTGTGGACACGATAAAAGGTCCTTTTTTTTTGTGATAACAGGTCAGGAAAGGACGTTATCTATCCCACCAAAAGCATCACTATTGGCTGCTGTGGTAACATGCTGATTTATAAAGCGATGTTGACGAGAAAGATAACTCATACTTCTAATAATGGAATGCTGGGGGTCCCATTCACTACATGAAAGCTGGATTTTACTGTTGCTGTGGATCCATATATGATTTTTCCACTGGTTGGGATGAAAAGAAATTTGAAAACTCTCCTAGGATTAGCATAGTTGTTAAGTGGACATAATTTTGGCCCTACTTTCATGATTTTGAAGCCAAATTAGGTTCCTGAGTTAGTGATAGTTCAACTGTTCAAGAATTCTAAAGTTATCCCCACAAAATGGTTTCCTCCAATAAAAATAGTAAGGAAGGCGTGGGGTTTGTGAAGAAACAGAACTGAAAAGTTTACCAGTCACTTCAAATTGATTTAATCTACAATTTCTACTCAAGAGGGAGACGGTGGATTGGAGCCTTGACTAAACTTGAATACTGTACACGGAAAGATAAGAAGGTTTTTATGTAAGTAGAGGCAACAGAAGAACAGAATTACGGAGTTACTTAATAGTATTAGACAGTCAAAAGAGTCACTCAATTTGGTTATGAATCTCATGAAATAAGATTCCAGTGAGGAGGGTCATCACATTTGCCTCACTTATAGCGTCACTTTTAAACAAAAATTGGTGAAAAATAAAATCAACAACGAACACACTTTGATCATCCAATTACCTAAACGAATAGCCACCCACTACCCTCTCCAAAACAGATAAAAGCAAACTAGGCAAAGAAGCTACATAATTACCAAACTGTTTTTCAACTTTCAACCAAGGATCACCTCAACCACCTTCTAAGATCACTAGTTGAAGATGGGGAGATCTCACCGCCAAGGCTCTCAGTACAGCAAGAAGAATAGTTAGACTGTTGTTCCAAACCAAAATGTGATCCACTTACACTCTTGAAACTTGGACTCCTCAAATCATGACCATAACATCCATATCTCATCCCAACACCATAAGGTTCTGGGACCGGAAATGATAGCCGTTTCCTTGCTGAACCGATTCGGTCCCTCTCTGGTGTAGATGGCCTCTGCCTTGGTGCACTTTGAGACCTGATTCTAGCCTTTGCAGACTCAGTTGCTGCCATGTAATTAGGCAATGTAGCAGCATTATTGCCACTACCACTAGTATGAGAACCAACCCTGCCAATGTAATAGTAATTGGACCTTAAGCTCGGTGTTTGAGATGAAATTGAGCTTCTATCTTCTCTGAGACAACGAGGGCTCGCAGACCGAACTTGAATAGGTCGGGTTTTGGATGGAGAGGGTGTAACCAGGGGGTGGTGGTGGGGTGCATTCTGTTGAGATCTATGCAGGGGTGAACTAGGCCTTTGGGTTTGGGTTTGATGTTGGTGATATTGGTTTGAATTTGTTCTTCGGTAATTAGGTGCTAAATATGAGTAAGGCTCGGAGGTGTCAATTTCTACAGTTTTGACAGGATCTCTTTGATCAGTTGAAGCTCTTCCTCTGTTATCCCATGGCTTAGCAGGCATCCAACGATCAAGCCATTTTGGTCTACCTTCGAGCTCGTCTTCATCACCCATTGATGGGCTCCTACGAGCTCTCCACATCTATTTAGGAAAGTTGGACTAATTATCTTATGGGAATCAGTAGAATGAAACAGAGGAGGTAGGTCTTTAAGATATGGGTTAAGACTTAAGAGCAAAAGAATGAACCTGTTGAGACAATGCCTGTGAAAAGTTCTTTTCACGCTTCAAAGCAGCTTCTTTTCTGTGTTGCAACATAGCTTTAACTTCCTCAACTGTGTGCGGCCTTTCATCCCAATCATCTGCAATGCTAATTCCTTCTCTTGACTGAAACACACACATGCCATGGAAAGACAATAAGAATCTGAATCTTTGAAGCAAAAAAATTAGAGTTAAACTTGCTTAACTTACAAACAGTTGCTTTCCAAATCCATGATTTATTTTCTTTCCTTTTAATTATTAATTTCCAAAACATATGCTCCTTCCTTTTCAATATCATTATTGCTTACAAAATAACGAACAAAATTACTTTCAGTAACTGACCAAAACAACTTACTAGTGATTTTCTGTCAGTATTGTCTTGAAGATATCGTGATTCCCATACGCTATTTGTATCGCTAAATGCGGATTTTCTGCTTCCATCATGCGAGAGCCTCATTCTTTGATCACGAACCCGAGCCTGCACTCTAACCAGAGCTTGCATGCACCGCAGTGTCATCTTGGCTTGCTTTCTCACATTGTGACCTCTTACTAAAGCTTGCAACTTCACCAATCCTTTTAGTGCACGAAGAGCTCTCCTTGCCTTCACAATCACCGCACAAAAATAATTCCATTCTTCCAATGAGTGCAAAAAACAATTGATGAAATCCTAATAATTCTACAAATTTTCTGCATCTAATTTTGGAGGGACAAAATTTTCTTACCAGGTAGCCTCTAAAAGCGGTCTGAATAACAATGGCAGCATAGTGGTGTTCTCTAGCATAATTAGAAGGTCTAGTCAACCGAGCCCCACGTACAGCCGCCTTAGCCGTGGCCACAGCAGTCTCAGCTGCCGCTGCCTTAGTCACAGCCACAGCAATAGCATACCTTTGCTCTGCTGCCGCAGTTGCACCATCTGTTGCTGCACCTGCACCACCACTACCTGTAGCCTTCACTGGGGCTTGTTTCGTTCCCGTTTCTTGACTTGTGGGTTTCCTAAATATCCACCTTCGCTTATCTCCCTTCTATCAAAACCAGATCAAGAATTTTATTTATTTTAGAGCCATTAAATTAAAAAGATTCAACTTCATTTACTTTGTTTATTCTATTTTCCTGCCACATAATTTAATGAAGAATTAATACAACTACAAACCTTTTCTTCATCTTCTTCTAGCTGGTCAGGTTCCTCCCTTCTACTACTTCTATTGTCATGACTCTCTTTAGTAGGAGATCTAAAAGCCCTTTTCACAGCAGTCAACCATGAAGTCCCTCCTTTCTTCCCCATCTAAAAGAAATAGTTAAACTAGGCTGCATTTACAGCAAATACAGCTAAAAAAGATAAGTAGAAAGAGCCAGAGCTGTAAGATAGAGATATGATGGGAATATGGATTCTTGTTTGTTTTAATGACAGTGCCCACCTCTTTTATCTGCCAGAGGAAGACGGTGATGTACAGATAATTTAATGGTTTTTTTTCCATGAGAGAGAGGGAAAGAACCAAACCGAATAGCTTAGATTCAATATATTTACAGTGATATCTATCTGATCTAAGCTTGGTGTAGGTCCTTTTTTTTTCTTGGGTGGCATGGGCAGACATCAAGCGTGGTGGTGTCAGAATGTGGTACGTCAACAACTTTTGCATGCAAGTGAGTCTATAAAAACAAGTAAGAACACAGGGTGTTTTGAGAGATTTTGTGTAATCAAAATGAAAATAATTTAAAGAGAACATGAGAAACAGGGTGTAGTGGACGTGGTTCGATATAGAAACGTTGAAAGCGACGAAAAGAAAAAATAGAAAGGAAAGCAAGTTGAGTTTGCACTTTGCACATCAACGAATGCCTTATTTTCTTCTTACTTATCTTTTATTTATTATTTACTATTTAAAAAGAGAAAACTTTTTGTGGAATTTTATTCCGTAAAAAACTTTTGAGTTTCCAACTTTTTTATTTGTCTTAAAATTTGATACCTCTCGTGGTGTCACGTGGTAGGAGCAGTTGAGCAAGCAGTGTAAAATCAGGTGGATGATGGAGCACGATGGTCCTTTTTTTTTTTTTTTTCCTTTGATTGATTCGACCAAAACGAGGAATCAGGTGGTCCAAAGACTATGATTACGATAGTTACGAGTCTTGAATCTATTATGTATCTACCTGTGGCTTTCGTTTCTTACGGTCGGTGATACTCTTACAGATTCCTTACAGAAACCAGCAGAAATAATAAAATCAAAGAGAACGAAGAACGATATTGCCCATGCAATACCAAAACAGATTCATACAGCTAATGTGAAAAAAAAAACAATTTGACAAGCGATTTCATGCAAATTGGCTGGAACTGCTGGTACTGGGACTAGTAAAATTGAAACTCAAAAACGGTAAACTGATTCATTATCCATGAAGGGAAAATCGTTGCACCAAGGCAGCAAGCATATTAAAAGGATTCAAGTGAAATCGATTTTTGGACCATGGGCTCATCGAATCTCGAATGGGAGGGAGAGCTGGCTCTAGCAATACTCTTGACTTTTATGATTAGCACAACTAGTTACGTTGTGAGTTTGTCTTCCTTAACCGTGCAGCTTAATTTGGTTTTTACTTTTTACATTTACATGCTGTGTGGGCTTGTATTGGGTTTGATCATGACAATTTTTAAGAATGAGCTGTCAAGCTTAAAATTATTTACCAGCACTTACTTACCATTACTTAGTGTCCATACCGTCAAGGCTCAAATCATTGGGCTTTCAGTGGGAACTCAGCCTCAAACAGGCCAAGGTCTAATTAAACATTATTGCCAAGTGGAAACCCAACTTGGCCCAATGACTGACCTTGTGGAAAGGCCCCTTCTCTTCCCTTCTCTTCTCTTCTCACTGAGCGGGAAGTACTTTATTACTTTACTGCCTTCTCTTGTGACACGATCTGTCCATAAAGGTTTTTTTTTTGGTCAAAGAAATTAAAAAAAAGGTCCATTAAGATTTTAATTATGGCAAATGAAAATTTTCCTTTTGGAAAGACAGTGTAGGCGGGGCTCGATATAGAAAAGAAAAAGAAAAGTCCCACAAAACAAAAGGCATACCTTTTATTTATAATAATTAGATGAATTATACAAAAGAAATTATTAGTAATTGAAAACGTTTTGGTGGGATGAATGAGAACAAAATAATAATAATAATAATAATAATAATAATAAAAGATAAAAATTACGTATGATAAACTAGTCAAGTGATCTTAATTTGATATAGTATATGAAATTTTATCATAAGATTTACGATCTACAATCAATTGATTTTTTTATGCATATACAATTTAAAATCAATTTATGATAATATTCAAAAGGAAATCAATATAAAATTTGTTGAAAAATTACAGTATTGTTTATCGTTATATACAATCTTAATCCTTATATAGTTTCAAATAAGAGGCATTTTTAATTAGTTAATTTTGATAATTGAAATTTCATTTTGAATTAATTTTCTTTATTTCTAAAAAAGAGAGTAAATTAAGGGTTTAATAATAAATTACTCCGTTACATATTCACTATTCCAGTTTCCTGAGAGGTTGTCGACACAAATTGCATTAGATCGATGGCTACCAAGTTAAACCATCCAAAACAAGCGAAAAAAATAAAGGATGTAAGAGAAATGGAGGAATCCAGCAATGGGTAAGTACTCCATGCCCATGTGATGATCAAGTAACAACAAGCAGTACTAAAGATACTTACCTTTTGGATCTTATAATTTGGTCCATTTTTACCTCTCAGGAGTCACTCACGCCTAAAATGCTTCGATGCAGTAAACACTAATTTCCATTTCACTAATTTGTTTTATTCTGCTGTCTGCTTCATAGGGTACAATTTGGTGCTCTAGTCTACTCCTAACCCCTTGATTTGTGATAATGATAATTATTATTATATAGTATTACTCACGTGGCTTCAAAGAAACCACGTCCACGTATATATAAAAACAGAAGTTATTGAAGTTGGTTATGCCCTTGTGAATATATATCCCTCACTAAAGTCCAAGGATATTGGATATGTTGGATACATATAGAACCAAGATTTAAAGACTAATAATCCCATTCAAAAGGTATAAATTAAGAAACATGCAGTGCTTGAAAATCCAGTTGCGTGTACATTTGAATATTGACTGTTGTTCATTTGTAAGCATTCGCTTGTCCTCATGTGACTGCATGCAAAGGAAAAAAAAAAAAAGAAACCAAAGTACTTTTAACGATCCCACATCAGAATGTTTGTTGAAACAAGCAGTGGTTGTTGAACTCGTCCATTGATAACAGATTAAGAAGAGTCACAGTTGCCTGCAGTGCTGCATGTATTTTACTTTCAAAGAAGAATCTGGCACCAATCACATGTGCAATGTAGGGCAGAGTATAACACCTGTTTGAATTAAGCCTCATGTTTTCTTGCTGCCTGGAAGTTAGCGAAAGAGAATAAATTGTGTGATAAAGATTAAGTATTTTAGAGAAAAAAATAACTGTCGTAAAATTTAAAGAAAGGTATTAGTCTCTCCCACCTTTTAATCACATCACATATCCTTCGAGATTTGATTCTCCGGCCCTGTTTTTCAAAAGAGATGGTCTTCCAAAGCTAACACTTTAATCCATCAACAAATTAAAATTATTCTATGTGCCCCCATTTTGATCCAAGATGTAACACCTTGCCCGCAAGGTCCGACCCCACCCGTACCTAACATGATTAACTCTCTAATATTCATTTCTAAATGAGAATTAGCTGTCCCAACTATGATTATACCTATCAGAAGAAGAATTATGACCGATCGATGGCGATCCAGGCTTTCCAATTTCCTTTACCAACAACCAATTTTTGCCTGGAAAGCGTATTGGCTTCTATGCCGACTAGCAAAAACGGTTGTTGTTAAGAACTTGTCGGCAAATCCCTTGTCACCGTTAGTCTCCACTTTCAGTTTTGGCTTTGTGACGTAAAGGTTAATGTTTTTTCTATGACTTGTAATTGCATGTAAATTGATTCATAATCAAAATACGCTTTGCTTAATTGACAAATCAAATTTATTTTTAAGTGTAATGACAGTTTTGATCCTTTTTTTTCCTTGTCATATTTGATGAAAAACAAGCGATTGACTTGGTAAGAAATTAGAAGGGAATACGAACACAAATTTCTTTTATCATTTTGACGATGGACACAATATAAGTGTCGGTTATGTATGAAATGTCCAAGACATATTGGTTTAAAGAGTTGATGGGAGGATGCCAACCAAATTCTCACCATCTTCAGTAGAAAAAACCATTTGGAGGAGTCGCAGGCGACAAAGAACCTGTAAAATTTTTATCAGGCTCTCTCCTTTATCCTATGCCTTACTTTCCTTGTTCTTTTGATTCTGTAAAATGAATCGGAATATGCTTTTATTGCCGCGTAGGGAAAAGGCTTTGTAATCAAAGCGAGAAGAATCTTTTAAAGAACTTGTTGGATATTGACTTTAACTAGTATGTCGTCTGAACTGTTGATTAAACTCAACAGGTTAGAGGTGTAGGCACTGGCTTTATTTCTATCCTTGCTTTATGCACCGAATTGGCATTCTTGATTTCAGTGCCAGCTGTTGGGATTGTACCATACAATGAAAAGAATCAATTGTTAAAACAATGAGAGAATTTCATAAAGGTACAATTGAAGTTTGACTTAAACTAATTTTTCACTGATAATTAAATAGTTTCATATAGAATAACGCAACAGTTAAAGGCGATAGAAAGTATTACACGGTTTGGCACTATGATGATTAAGATAAAAAAAAAAGAAAGAAAGATTAAGATGTTACTTCATGTTTAGATATAATATGGCTACTTGAAATTTAAGATTTAATTTAATTAATTTATATAATCATTTTTAAAAGATAATGCATTTAACAAGAATAAAGTTCAAAATATTTTTTCAGACTACGTCCTCCTTTGTGAAAAACAAATAAAGCTACTTGATTGAAATTATAATAGGCAATTGATCCTTAAATCAATAGTGTAGCTTAAATGATCAATATCTCCTATTTTTTAAACTTATTATTGCAAAGTCAATAATACAACCAATTAATCAAAACCTAGTCATTCAAAATACCAAATTTGAGAAAGCTAGCTAGCTAGTTACTCAACCAGCTGTATTGTTGATAAGTTCCTTGCTTCTTAATATTATCTTCAAATTAATTTTTTTAAAGTAATAACAATTGTCAAGGAATTCGAACAATCCACTCTTATCTCATCTTAGGCAATGAGTTCCATAGTTGAATGACAATTATATTTAATAAAGTTGGCCTGCCATCCACACCCAACCCTACTTAATAAAAAAATATAGGGTTGGGGACTTCGGGTGTTATAAATTGGTGTAGAAGGCAACATGACAAAATTAACACTGGTTTTAGTTAAGGATGCTTTGTTAATATATAAATTTTATATACTATAAGTAAATCATATAATATTATTTCATTAATGAATGAATATCAATTCTTAAAATAAATATATAAAATTTTAATTTAAAGAATTATTTATTAATAAAATATTATCATCTAATTCACTTCATTAATAAAATGATAGTATTTAATTTATTGATAATATATAAAATTTATATATTAATATATATCAAATAAAAATATTTTTATGTTAAAATACGAGAGCTTAAAATTAATCTTTTTTGCAGGACTATAATTTGGTTAGTATTTTCACCATTTAGCTAATAATTGCAAGTAACAAATTATGAACAGTAACAATGAATCATGTAAGTAGGACGGCAATGCACGCCACAAACGGTTAGACACCATACTAGCAGAAAAGTGTAACGTCTTTTCTAATGCAAAAGTCGGGCAAAAAGTAGTATTCGTTGTTTTAAAAAATGTCGAGATATAAGCATGGGGGAAACAATTTGGAGAGGCCCGAGGCCTAATGCATGATTAAGGAATACTGTCTTTTCCTTTTCTCTTCTCGTGCTTCTGTCTTCATCTTCTTCAAAATGTTTGAGAGAAATTCTTTCTGAAAAAAAAAAAAAAGTGATAAGACTTTTTTGAGACTCCGCACGATCAATTGGACTTTGTCGGGTCGGATATGTAGCGGGAAAAAAGTACGTAGTTAAGCCTTTTTCGTATCCATTGGTTGGTGGCATGGCATAGAATCCCGCTTCTTGTTTGCATTCAGCTGTTTAATTTCCTTTTTGTTTGCCTTTCGTTCGATTTTAATCATGCAACCATTTTGAAAGATCATTGATTCATTGGATGAATTCAAATGGCAACCCTTGTTTTACCAATTAATCATGAGGGACCCCATTCTACGAGCGCCAATGGTGGTCTGGGAATGATGAATCAGTTTTCCTTTTTTCAACTTTCAACAAGATCATTAGAACATTCTCCCTTCCTCAACCACAAACATGTGATCAAACTCAAATACACTGATCAAGGTTGACGACTCGACGGTATTGAGCCAACCAAAAATATAAGAAAGTGAATTCACATATGTTGCTTAATGAATGGATTGGTTTTGTTGTATAAGAAAATGATAATTACAACCCTTTTTGTCGGTTAAGATCAAATTTAATTGGTTGATAAACATCTTTTGAATGTTAGAAACAGCTCATGTCGTACACTATCTGAGAAAATGCATGGACAAGTACTCGAACCAATTTCCTTAAACACCCAAAACAATCCGACAAACCATGTGGCTTAAGAGATAATTAGGAACATGACCACAATGATTATTTTGAAGGGAGAAAAAGTGAATTATTATTATTATTATTGCTATTGTTGCGTTTAGAAAGAAATATTATCAAATCACCTAGAGTTTGCTAGACTTCTGGAGAGAAGAGTTATGAAAATGGTAGACATCTTGATTAAGTAAAGATAATGGTTGACAATGCCACCCCATCTAAGAATAAATTTCACTTTTATTTATATTAATATGATTTATATATTCATCAACATAACTGATGTAATAATAACCTTCTGACTTCAGGCACTAAGGTATGATTATATATTAGGGTAATTCTGTTATACACTAGCATTCACCACGTGGCACAGTGGGTCGGATGATGACGATAGTCTAGTGAAACCCCAGAGGTCAATTTCGCTGTTATAATCCTGAGCTCCATGGTAAGACCTGTTGTAGGGTATTGATGATGACCGAAGGGCTGGTAATTGGAGATCATGGTGATCAGTACTGGGGCAGCAATAGGCCATGGTATGGTCATTGAAGTAGGGTAATTGCCTATAGGTCTCTGTTTGGGCGCCATTGAGTTGAGAGGCTACAAGCCGGTCAAGTACTGCCCAGTTTGTGAGCCCTGAGCCGTTGTGATAAACTGAGTTCGGATCTCCAATCACCTGGTTGGTGATTGAACCTTCATTGTCTGTCATCATGGGTTGGTTACAGTTTTGGCAGCTGCTGGAGTTTGGGCTATCTAGGCTTGGGAGTTTCATGAATGATTCCCGGTAGCCATCGCTGATGGCTGTCTCGATAGGCCTGAGGAATCTCGTATTGTTGTTTCCTTTACTGTCTTCCTTGCAATTCCTTCCCACGTACTCAAATATCTGCTCCAAGGCTCCTTCATTGCACGCCTCGAACATATGGTTCCTGGTTTCTGCTGTGACAGATGAGATAATAGGGCTGTCCAGGGTTTTGTGGTGGTTTTTCTTCTTGAAGATACGACATACCACCCATCCCTCTTCTTGTGTCCCCTCCCCCATAGCATTGGAGACCTTGATTAAAAAAGAAAAAAAAAGTACTATTACTATTAATTTAATGACAAAAAAAATTACTATGAAAGTTATATATATTTGGGTATATTATTTCTTTTCAGAACCTATCATTATCTTTTTTTTTTGTCCTCTCATGTTAAAGATACATACAATAAGACGTAACACAAGTTGAAAGTCTAAAGTTAAGACAAATTTTTTTCCTACTACGAAGATGTTATATCTGACTGCTGAAAAATACTAGTGGACGTATGAAGGAGAAGAAGATTTTAGTCTAAAGGCTTACATTGGTTTCAACGACGTTATCGTCTAGTCTGTATTCATGCATGATCCAATCAGATTTTTTACCATGAGGGGCTCGCCCTTTGTAAAACACCAAAGTCTTCCTCATTCCGATCCGCTGGCAGTTGCTGTATATCACCTTGTCTCGCCCGGTCGCTTTCCAAAAACCAGCAGCCGTGGCACGGTTCGTGCGAGTACCAGTGGGGTACTTCTTGTCTTTGTGGCTAAAAAAGTACCAATCATTCTGAGGAGTGGTTCCAATTTTGCACGTCTCTGCAAGAGCCCCGGAGAACATAGAGTTAAAATCTTGAAAACGTAAATGGCAATGGAACATAAAATTACGGAACTAAATAAGAATACTATATACATATATATATATATATAGACACCTTGAATATCCCAGGGCTCGAGCTTATTGAGATCAACATCCCGAATTACATCTAAATCGATCTTCTCATACGAAACCTTCTTTCTCAGATAGTATTGCAAAAGCTCCTCTTCGGTGGGATGAAATCGGAATCCGGGGGGCACTTGAGAGTGTCCATTTACAGATATGCTCATGTTTTCCGGCATTTAAAAAGAAGAAAGAGTGTGGGAGGATTGATGAGATCAAAGGAGACCCAAAAAGAAAATAGAAAGGGAGATGAGAGAAATAACTGATGACAAAGCTGGTGTACCAAATGGAGTATGTAGAGAAGTCTATATATATGTGCTGCAGGACACAAAAGGGCCAAAGATACAATGAAAAAAAAAAAAAAAGCAAAAGAAAAAGCTTTGTGTTTTTTATGGGCACTGGCGCTGGCCAAAGGCATGATGAGGTGGGGTCTAGTTTTGTTTTACTATGCTTCGAGAAGAGCCGGCCACCTAGATAGATAGAGAAACGACACTGTTTTGGGAAAAATGTTGAAATGGGGTCCAAAATCGTGGGTATTAAAAGGATGATTAGGACCCAGATGGACGTTGTGAGCAACTATATTGCGGGGGGCATGCCTCCATCAAAACTGTGACCTTGGACCTTAAAATCTCCACAGAAAAACACCTCTCAAACTGCCCATCCATCGGCTGATTCATTCCACCCTCCTCCATCTGATCTCTTCTCCCCTTGGGCTCGTACAACCACGTCCCCCAACAAGAAAGAGATGATGGAGCAGGCATTAAATTTGAATGGGGGAAAGGAAAGAGTAAAAATAATGATGAGTGGTGGGCATACTACATGCATATAGTCGCAGTAGTAGTAGTAGTAGTTAGCTTTTTTCTTGAAAAACTCCAAGAGGCAGGATTATTTTATGGCTGATTTGCAAGTTCAGCTGCATTTACTTCCCCTTCATGATCATTATGCCTTCACTTCACCTTTTGTTTTCATCCTTTTAGGTTTTTTTTTTTTTTTTTTTAACTTCAAGCTAGATGCGAAAGGCCGAAGCTTGGCACTAGCTATTTCCATTTTGGACCAACCAGCCAGTTAATAGTAATCTGGCAATCTCTCTCTCTCTTTCTCTCTGAGATTTTTTCGACTTTTTCTTCTGATCTGTAAGCTGTACTTTTTGACGATCAATATGATGCATGATGGCACTTACGGCAGGACACTTTTTGGATGTTATAAGTGAATTATCCTTTTTAACAGAACAAGCCGAATTAATTATTTCCTTTTGGTGATTAATGCTTATATATATATATATATATATATGAATATGAGAAGGAATTTATTTATATTAGTATAATTTATATATTTTTAAAATTTTTAAATCAAAATTAATAAATTTAAAATATTATTTTGATTTAAATGAATCATAAATTTAATACTGATTTAAAAATTTTTTAAATATAAAAATTACATTAATATAAGTAAATTCTTACTGTATATATCTCCCAATAAAAATAATTATGGGCATCAAATTGATCAAACTGTAGAAAATTAATCATCTCCTTAATTATTTGTGACAAGCAAGCGGTAGCACATATTTGTATTTTAGTTAAAGAAACTTTTAAAGGTCGCCATTCTAATAATTTTATTTATGCTCTGAATTCCTTACCTCCAATCATGTATTTTTGGTTGATAAAATGACGGAGCAACCACTTTATACTTTGCTTACTAACCGCCATTGTTTTTCATACCTTACCTTTCTTTAATATTCAATTTTATCTATACATGTTTAAAATGTGGCACTTGTATTTGATAAGGTATTTATTTACTTGTACATTAACATTATGTATATTATTATGGTTGCTAGGACATTCATAAGAGGAATGATTTAGATGAAATTTTTTAGGTGAAGTTCGTGAAGTTTTCAACTAGAAACGATTAAATAAAAATTAAAATAAAAATCAAAATTAAAAAATCCCATTACATAGATCAAGTGTGTAAATTTTGAAAAAAATTTAGTATATATTTTTAGATAAACATTTTTAGTAAAAATATTGATAAAATTTTTATGGTTAAATAAGTATCAATTAAATTTAAATTATAAATAATATTTTAAATATTTTTTATATATTATTAATTTTCACATTGAACTTTATATATCTATCGATTTAAATTTTTTATTAAAATTTTTATTATATCATTTTTTTAAAAAAAACTTTACAAACTTTATCTAAAGAACTCTATGTAAATTTTATCCATTTATAAGATAATTATCTAATTGAATAAGATTTTTTTCATTGAGATTTTCTTTTTTTGGAGAATTATCAAACACATTGTTAGTGGAGTTTTTTTAACTCCACAAGTAAAATCCTTTAGGTTATATTTAAAAAAATAAAAAATTAATTATAAAAATAATAGAACATATGTCACTCTATTAATTTCATTTATGGAATTAAAAACTCTACTGACAGTGTATTATTGATATTACTATAGAAAAGGATCAAATCCTATTGTCTTTTTTTAGCTATTCGAGAATTATTTTTGTTAACAATCTAATGTCGAATCATTAATAAACTTGAATCAGGGTCTCGAGTGCAAATTAAGTGACAATATGTCGTCAATTATATTGAATTATGTTGTCAATTATTTGTGCTCGTGTTTCTTATGTGCATATCAATTATTCGAATTGAATTATATCTAGACATCTAGCATGATATTGATAATGTCGGACATGTACAACTCGTTGTACTATTTCTCATGGAATAGTCAAAGCATGATGATAGCAAAACTTGTCATTTGTTCCAATGATCGAATTACAAAATGAGAATTGGCTGTTTGATTCATAATTTTCAGAGCAAACAAATTTAATTTCTGAATCCTTGATATACCAACCATTTAAAAGATCTGAATCCTTGTTGCAAAGATCTCAATCAATGGGGCTTTTATATAAGACTGAGAGTTTGGCACAAACTCATGCTGAAACGCTTCTACAGACGTCCGAATATTGCAATCAATTGCTACAAGCTAAATCACAACTTCATGGCATGTGGTAAGCATCATAATTTTTATATTTTACAAGCCTTGGCAAAACATTCCAGATTCCAGTACCCTAAAAATTGCATAAAGCGACACTGTACACATGACCATCGATTGCCAGGGTACTAATTAGTAGCATATAACATACCCTGAAGATATTTTGAAAAGAAATAGATTTAACGTGATTGAGTTGTAGGAAGGGGATCTGTCATTCTTGTCGACTGAAAATTCGTAGAGTACTGCAAATCGCCTACATTAAATGAATCTTTGAATTAATGTTATGATATTAGTGGGAATGGTACGTACTATATAAAAGACAGACTACTAATTACTTCCTACGATGTTGAAAAAATTAACCAATTTTCTTGTTTCTTTTTGTAGTTTTCTTAATTTCGCTGTTACATGTTTCAGACTTCTAACCATTAACCCAAAATCATGAAAGGGATACGATAACCAAAATATTCCCACCCACCTTTCAATGCCAATGGATCTCACCTATTTTTTTCCCTTTTCATCAATTTGAGTTTGAAACTAATTGTTTTTGAGTTAGACAATCTGTAAAAAAAAAGTTTATGTTACATACTTTAAGTTGTCAGTACCGGAAACAGCCAAAACATTTCGTCGTAATTGATTGCGACCACCATAATTTTTCTATTGCATGGCTGCTACTAAATTATAGAAACCAATATGCCAAACGTGGGCCAATGTTGGCGAATATCTCAAGACAATGACTCAATCGGTGGTTGCTGTTCTGGGATTCTTGGAGTTCCTATTAAGACCAATGAAAGAATTCTTCATAATGTTTATTTAATGCCAAGCTTTTTCTTTCTTTTTTTTGCCGAGCTCTTCAGAAACAGAGAAAGAATTCCAAATTGCAGTTTTTTTTTATTTAATTTTAATTTACTCTTGAATGCTTTTATCTTTATCCTTATTTTTTAAAAAAATATTATGTGTATAAATTTTTTGAATTATATAACCTTCAAACGTCAATTTCAATATCACATCAATTAACTCAAAAGTTAATAAATCCAAATTATAGTTTCTTAAAACCCAAAAAAGTGAACTTTGATTATCATTTTTACCAAATTTTATTTGAAGAACGGCTTTCAATAATTGAGTTGGAAAATTAAAAAAAGAGGCACAATGCTAAACATAATCAGTGCCACGTTTAGGAGATGGAACTGCAACGGCCGTCTGATAAAATGACTATAATATAAAGACAAAACAATTTACTAGTTATACCAGAATCTTAAAATCATAACGAGCTCCCACACTGTAATCGTCTCATTATCTTATTTTTCAGGCAGTAAATATAGCTACCACACTGATCACCCACTCTCTCTAACCCTTGCACGTGCTCTAATGATCCAACAAAACACCCCCACAAGAAGCCGTAATCTGAAAGTGAAAAAGAAATAAAAAAACCCAAACAGATAAATGATTGGTTTAATACAAATGAAAGCAGAGAATTAATTGAGATGACAAATCATTTTTTGGGTAAAATTTTTGTTTCCCAAGGATTATGGATGGCACCTACTCTCGCCGTCATATATTGCTCTATGAATTATATAATATCATCACAGCAAAATATATGGGTAGAGTCATTGCAACAATTAACTAAAAATTTTAATTCTTGAATTTAATAAAATTTTCATCTTTATTTCATTTTATCTTTCTTACCAAGCAAAGTATAAGAGAGTTGCGGATACAGAAAGCAAGCAGACCCAAAAGGTCAAGGACTGAATAGTTAACCATGTGTTTCATTGGCCAAATATAGATTGTAAATTGTAGCAATCAAATTGTCAATATCAAAGCTCCAAAAGTCTGCACCAGCAGTGACATTTTGATACTTTCATGAATATATCTCGTCTATATCCGACGATTTAGAAACGAGTATTATTTAAGAGCTTCGAACACGAGGTGCTTTTCTATAGGAATTATAAGACAAACCCATGATTTTAATGAGGCGGCTTCAGCTTCTTGATATTATCCTATATTCTGTTGTTTTCTTCATGTTTGATGTACTTTTATTATATAAAAAACTGGTAAAGAACTCTGTCTTAACTTTTGCAAGAAAAGCCACTGATGCTGGAATCTTTTAAGGGATTATTAGTTCAATTATTAAGTTAGATAATTGTGAATGATGCAATTAAGGGATATTGATGGAGCGATTCTGGGTGTTGGTCGATTCCATGACAAACGCTCCCCAGTTATATTCTAAATTTTTATATCTAAGAAAAATTAAGCAGATTTATTTTGTTTTTGAGATCAATCGATATACCAGAGAGAGGACCCTCAGAAATTATGTTTTTCAAGTCTTAACTTTTTACTGTTCATAAAATTCCAAGAGAATATTGTCAAAGCATCTTTCAAAAAAACAAAGCGATAATCAGTCGACCCGACAATCGTTTAAAACTAATTTAGAAAAACAAGCAAGTGGAGAATATTTCTCGATTTAAGGGACCACTGGAGAAAAAAAGATGAAATGAGAGAAGATGCCTTCGGGGTTGGCAATAAAGTTTGCCCTGGCCTCCATTTTATTTTATTTTTTTTTCTCTCAAAACTGGAAAAATGGAAAATATTAGGCACATTCAAGAAGTTCAAAACCTATACACGAGCATATATAGATCATATTTCCACCTTTTTTTGCCCTTTTGGGTGAAAATCAAAGCTCTTTTTCAATGCATTTAGAACACAATAATCAAATTTGATTTCTCAGATTGACAAATTAATAACTACGCTAATTATAAACAAATTAAAAGTTTATTGAGTTTTGTCTTTTCCCTATGCAAATCTTCTAGCCAAAAGATTAGATTACTATCTTATATTATATATTCTATCCCTTTGTTGGGCATACAGAAAAACTTTGTTTAATGTAATGCCTTTTTATTTTATTATATTAGGTGATTCATATGTTGAATTGTAATCTAATCATTTGCTAATTAATTAGGGAGCAAAAATGACTGAATAGAGGAAAAGCGAGAATCACGATCTCTCTTTCTTCAGGAGTTTTAAGGGAGTGCAGCATACTTTTTACATTAAAGCTGGTTGTGAGTTGTGACACTGTCTTTTTCTTTGATATTGAAATGTTGTTTCTTCTAAAACAATTCTATTGTCGTTATCGTTCCATTAAAAGGTGTTTAACAGTTTCTTTCTGACTATTATATTCGAGGCTGTGATCAAGTGAACTTTGTTTAATTTGGTACCAGGGTCGAATCATAGTACAAATCTCTGTCATACCATGTAACCTAATTGGAAGAATAAGTCTAGGTGAGAACAATAAGTTAAGTATTTCGAGTTTTGAACGTCTTTTCGAGGAAAGACTTAATGATCTTTAAGTCTGAATTTTATATTATAATATATGAATTGTTAGATATACTTAACGTAATATTTAAGCATTTGGTTCAATTGATTAGTGCATGATCTATTTGCATTTTTTATTACAGCACAAACAAAAATATAACTAATTATATAAAAACTTTGCTGAGCAAAAAAAATATGAGTACTGTATCTTTTTTTTTTTTTTTTAAGCTCTAATTTCCTCCACAAAGCAAGGGGGAAATCAGGTTATGTTTCCTTGTTCCATTAATTATCTTGTCATCTTAAAATCTTTTAATTCATTGTCACCATTTAGGAAGGAATATAGCTGCCTTAGTATGAATAAGAGGGGCTTCAAATTAAGGTGTGTTCAACCCTATTGATACAAAGATTGTTAAATTGCATTTGTTATTAAATATTATTTGCTTTTAGAGTCCGGAAGCCCGTCTTCATGTTTTTTTCTCTTTTTTTTTTTTTTTTTTTTTTTGCATTGGGTTATATACTTTTTTTGGAATTAATAATGGATAAACTTTGCTTTTTTTAAAATGAATTAAAATTTTTGGCCTGTCCTGATTTTTTTCTCTTCCGGGGGTCCATTCATTTTTTGCAAAGCAACCAAACGTCCCCATATGACATATTTTAGCTAGCTATAAACATCATTTCATGATTCCAATCATGTTTTTGGATCAATTATGAGAAATTTTGCATTACTGCTAAGAAAGCAGTAGCAGGAGATTCCCAAACTTTTTAGAATATGAATTGTGTCTGATGATAATTGGTATAGATTCTTACGGATGGGGTCACTCAACTTGTCATTCAATCAACAATTTTCCATTTTCATTTCACAGTTCACACTTACCACTTCTACTTTGTTCCTTGGAAATTAACCTGGAAAGACTGAACATCCTGCACGTAATTGTAGCCACTAATATATCTTTCTCCACTGTTATCTTGAAAACGCCATGATACCTACAAAATTTCAGGGAAAAAAACCCATTAAAACTTTATGTTTATCAAAGAAATATTAGGGGAAAAATAAAGTTGAATTTCAGGAAAAAAAAAAAAAAAAAAAGGTCAATCAAACAAGTTACAAAGAGCTACCCCGAAAATAATATTAGATTGTTGAGATGAACCGATTGGATCATATTGTCTTAGCTAATAAATTATAGCATTTTTTTTATATTTTTTGTTTTTAATTTAAGACATTAGTATTAAGCCTCAAATTTAAAATTTGTTCACCTAAATCGCAATCACCCCTACGTAATTATAACTGCTAAAAATCAACTATGAAATTAAAAATTTTTCGCTAATTAATTAGGATCCAGAATCCTTGATAACATTCGCAGTTTTCACCATCTACACAATAATGTTCTCGAAAGAATCATGTTTCACAGACCGTTTTGCATTTCTTACATCTTTTTCGTCCTTGCTGGTAGCACTTACGTAAATGGTTGAGCTAACTAGCTGGCCCAGCTGGTTCCTTCTGCAACGCATGCATTTGCACCACTGCTATATAATTTTGATGTCAGATTTAGATGTGATTATCATCAAATCGGATTGGATTAAAGGCCTAATTAATATTTTCAATGTCTTATTCGGGGCCCGGATGTGTTACTTGATTTAGGCCTACGTAGAAAGCCGCCCCTCAATTATTTTCCCCGTTTTGCTTCTCACTTTCTATAAAAACAAAGCCATCTTTTTCAATAGGCCCTTTGAGACTTGAGGTGTCGACGTACTTTATATTCGTTTCTATGAAATTAAAGCCATTCCCAAGCAAATGTTGGGAGCAGCTTTTCTCCAAACGTATTCTTCGACCCCCAAACCGTTAACCACATGTGGAGAAATCAATAATAACCATTGGATCGGGTCTGATCTTGGTCAGGGCCCGCTTTATGAAAGGGACGTGTTGCTATTTGGGCTTTCTTTGGATCGGGTGACAGTAGGGTGGGTCGTTATCAGATTAGATTAATGGGCCCAAGTTCTGTTGATTTGGAACAGGATTCCTCTCCCGCGCGCCTATCTTCACTTAAAAACAGGAGTAAACTACAGGAAAATTTTACTCAAATTTGAGTGATTTTTATTTTAGTCATTCGATTATAAGAATTTACGATTTAATCATTAATGTTTAATTAATATGTAATTAAATGATGATAGAACACGTTATACATATGATATCAGTGGACAAATGACATGTCTATATCATAAAAAATACCACATGATTGAAATGATGAGACTTTAGAAAATAAAAACAAAATATTCTTTCATTTCTTCTTTTCATTGTCTCTTTATTTTTTTTTCTAAAAGAAAAAGTAAGACTAACTTAATCTATAAACTCCTTGGGTCAAAATCACAATAATACAGTAATAATTATCGCGTGTTTCATACCTCTAGAATCAATGTCCCATCCAAAGTATTAATATCTTTTATTCTTTTATTTTTCAGAAATGTTATTATAAAATAATTATATATTCATTTGTATTTTTTTTATAACATTGTTCTCTTAATAATTAGAGTGCTTGTATTTAATATTTATAGGTAATGTTAAGTGTACAAAATGATAGATAAGATAGTATAATAATTATTTTATATTTAATTAAAAAGAATAAAATTATAAAAAATATTATCATATTTTTTGTATATAATTATTCAATTATCTTAAAGTGAAGAGAATTATTTTTAATTTATGAAATTAAATTTACAAATCTTATTGTACTCTTAAACATTACATTAATAATTTAAATTATATAAATTTTAAAAAAAAATTGATCAATAAATAAATTATCTTATTTTAATCATTACGTATATCAAACATAAAATAAAATGATATTATTTAATTTAATTCTATTTATAATATTATTTTATTCTATCATATCATAATTTTATATACCAACATTACTATAAAATCTTATAATTAAGAAGCATGTTGTATTTTTTTATGATAATCATTTAAGATAATAAAAATTTTAATACTTATCAATAAAAAATTATTTATTATTATTATTATTATTATTATTATTATTATTATTTTACTCTAAGTTCATTTGGCTTGTAAGCTGCAAGAAAAGTAATATTGTCGTTGTTTTCACAAAATTTAAAGTAAGCACGGGAGAAGCACTGTGGTTAGTAAATATTTTTTATATGAAAGAAAAGCGCAAGACGACAATTTAATTATATTGTTGAGCCTTTTATAGGATGCCTAACATCGGCAGCTCCATCAAACCTTCGATTTGTAGTTGAACTAAATTTGTTCATGTAATTTTATTCTTGAAAATAAAAAGCTAACACTAGTAATTAACCATACACGTGAATCCACAAGAGACCATCAGAAAATGAACATCCTTAATATAATATAATATCACAAGATTATGGAATTAACCAAGAAAAATCATGTTCTCCAGCCATTTAAACTTGTCACGTTTCACTTCCAGGATAAAATACCAGTAATAACACCACTAGATATTCTACAATCTAAAACAAATACTTGCTAAAGAAACATCAAATATCAGAATCCAAATATTACTATCTTTTTCTACACTAACAATGAAGTCACCATCTATCTTCAGCATATGTTTCCGAGGATCCTTTCCAACTACTAGAAACTGTACTCCATTGATCAGAATTAGCCACCGATGACACCCCATTTCCACACTTAGCCACCGTCCTCACGCTCTCTATCAACGCCTCCGTTCGAGCCTCCTGCGCCAGGATTTCTGCCAACTGGTCTGGGCTTATCACAAGCTTCACCTTCCACAGTCCACTGCTATTATACCTAGGCAAAACCTCTGAGTCGCTTCTCTTCAACACCCTCTGCTGATCAAACGACATGCGATATAGAGTATTCGTGGATGGAAGTAGATTTTTTATTGTTACTTTTGCCGTCGACGTGTTCAACATTGTTGTTTTGATCGTTTTGTTTTGCGAAGCTGTCGGTGCAAGGGAGGAGATAGTAGAGCTCGCCTGCATGGAGCTCTTCGTTGTGAAGGAGAGGTTGAGAGAACAAGTGACGTGTGCGGTAAATGGCATGGCCTGGAAACTCGTTGGTTATGCACTCTGCGGTGATGGGTGCGAATAGCTCCATGATGCCGCCACTGGATGTTACCACTCTTACCATTTCTTCAACTTCTCTAAATCCTCTGAACACGCAATTGCCCATATCAGGTGTTCAGTCTTGGATGCTATTAATCTTCTTCTTGCTGTCGCTTTTAGATAGGGAAAGGCTGTATGGTTTGATGTGATGGAATTTTGAAAACTCTGGCGGTGAAATATAAGCCGAGAAATATGATTAAGGGGTGAGAGAGAAAAGGAGTTTCTTGAGGGTTTCCTTCTGTCGGTGTGTAGTGCAGCCGACACAATTATTATCGTTTATTAGACAAGACTACAATGGAGTTTGTGAAAATTTATCATATAAAAATTATAATCTAAATTTTAAATTGATAGATTAAAATTTTTTTACATATACAAAGCGTATAAAATTTAAAAGTAATAAATTTAATATGTTTTCCTAAATAAATATTTTTATTAAAAATTTGATAAAATTTATATTATTAAATAAATATTGATTAAATTTTAATTATAAATTATATTTTATATATTGATAAAATCTTTTAATTTATAATTTTTTATTTAATTATTTGTAATTTAAAAAAAAAAACTTTATGAACTACATTTAAAAAACTTATCTAAATTTTACCTTTTCCTTTTATCATCCCAAACTATAAGATCTTGCGGCCTTTATAGTGGAATGGCCCCCTTGTGTAATAAGAGAAAGATCCACCGTTGATATAAGAAAATAGCCAAAAAGCAGAAGATAAGAAATTGGGTATGGCACATGTATTAGAATATAATCTATTCTTTTAAAATGCATCTCCCACTTTTTTTTCTTTTTCTTTATTTTTTTTTTTTTTAATTATAGTATTAAGTCAACGTTTGGTTCCTCAATACTATAATATTCGTATGAGATCATGAACATCAAGGGATTCATGGTCAATTGAACCATCAAGTGTGTGAATTCCTTTTACCTTGTGCTTTTAACAAGTGGAGCCCAGTTTTCGGCGACTACGACATGAAAAGAAGAGAAGTGTTGGATTGCTCAAGTTAAATTTGAGCACGATCAATGCCAGGCTGGTTTATGTTCAAGAGTAAAACAAAGCCGGGATAGTGTTTTCATCGACTTCCACAATGGAAATTAACCATCGTTTGATGTCGGCTTAAACGCAGTTAATTTTCAGTTTGGAGATGTTGAAATTCCCCCAATAAAAAATATAGGGTAGGTCAAGGACAGGAGGGGACCAGCTGGAAAGATTCTGATTGATCAAGATGAAAATGAAAGCTCATCTATTAATCATTAAAATTTCGTTTCTAATTTATAATAACACCTAGTTAATATTGGCACAAGGTCCTATATATAGCCTTGATGAATCATTAAGGAATGCAGAGCATTTTTTACGGCTTTCGGTAATTTAGTGGTAATGGCACTCGTTGAACTAATTTCATTCAAAATATTCTTCCGTGCAATGGTTATGATTGAATACCCCTTTAAGAAGGAAGATTCTTTACAATGGTTTAGAATTATTTAATATTTAGGAAACGTCTTTTGGTGTTTAGAAATTATAACCAAAAAAAAAAAAAAATTGCCAAAGTTTCTTTAATTTCTTTGGTGCGTTTATAGTGTACGTACAACTTAAAAAGCTTTAATTACCGATTCACGTCAGACAAAAAGGAGAATATTATCACCATCAGTAAAATCATTGTCTGAGGACATCATTTTCTTACTAAGACAGAGCTTAATTTCGAGTTTCAAGGAATGCAAGGATGTTTTAAATTTATCAAAAATATTAAAATTTTAATTTTTATAATAAGAGAAACACGGACAACTTCAACACTAAACAAATTAAACTTAAGCTATGTACATTAACAAAATTAAGCAACTAGCTCATCTCCAACTTGGTGAAAGGCGTGAGATTAATTATAGAGTAATCCGATTTCAACAAGTTTGGCTTACGGTTTAATAATAATTAAGGATTTAAATGTAGTAAAATCACTCAAATTTTGAAGGTAGCTAGGTAAATAGAGGTGATAACACAGCTGCAGGGATCGGGTCATGAACTTTAATCATTATTATTTATGCATCAAGTCAACTAGAATAATTATAACGATTCAAACTTTATATTGACTACTTTTCACATATTTAATTAACCAATGGCTTTGGTATGTTGATGTTCAAAACTGTAATAAAGTTTTCATTCTTCAAGAAATCAAAATTAAAGCCCATTTACTTAGTGCAGTATGTATGCAATCGAATGTTTAAATTGAATCACTTGATTGGACTTAGGCAGATGGAGGAGCTAAAATATGACTATCTACAAATTACCCTCTTCAATTTGAGTACTTGATTGTTGGTACGCTTTTTTTTTTTTTTTTTTAACAGATGAATTTTTTTATTGTTGTCTTAAAAAAACATGTCTTCCTTTCTCCCAACATAGTCCGATCTTTTGAATCCAAAAAATATGTTTTTAATTGTTATGATTTTTAAAAAAAGAATGTTTGGGTTGGTTTGGGTGACACGGGGTCCTATGGCTGTGGATTTAGGGTGGGCTTAGTCTTCACCAGTTTGGCATTTCTTGGGTTGTTAACCGGCAATGATATCCAAATCAATCAAATAGCTTTGATGAACAATGTCTTGGGCCGAAATAATGATGCTGGGTTCCTCACTGAGTTTTTTTTTTTTAAATATTAATTTATGCGGGATTGTTGTCAAAGGGTTTTTTTTTTTTTTAAGCATCTCAGTTATAATTTTTTTTATTGTAATTATTCAATCATAATAAAAATTATGTAGAGATATGTTATTTATAAGTAAAAATTTTATATAAAATTTTAATAGACCTCATATTTATTTAAATTATAATTAATTAATTATATTATAATTATTATAGGTGATAACCGTGACATGCATTTTTTTTTATTTTTCTTTTTGAAGAAATGAAAAAAGTGTTTGAGACTTTCAATGACTTACACGAAATTTGTTAAATAAAATTCGTGAAGTTATTTATTAAAATATATTAAATAAAAATTAAAATTAAAAATTAAAATAGATAAATTGAAATTTTTTATTATATAGATATAAGTATGTAAATTTTAAAACAATTTTAATAAATTTTGATATTTTTTATATAAATATTTTTAGTAATAATTTTGATAGAATTTTTATCATTAAATGAACATTGATCAAATTTAATTATAAATAATTTTTTTTTACATATTATCAATTTTCTCATTAAACCCTATCAATCAATCAAGTTTAATTTTTTATTAAATTAATTTTAATAAAAAATTTCACAAGATCCATCTAAAATGTTTTATATAAATTATTCTTATTTGTGACTTATCTCTAACACATGCCAGCAACCAACTATGTGGCCGTCCCAAAAGCAAACTAATTCAATAAAATATTTCAAAAACAAATAAATTTAAATTTAATACATTATCAATATATAAATTTTATATACTATTAACAAATTTAAAGATGTCATCTCATTATTATGCATATATCAACTTTTAAAATAAATATAAAAAAATAATATCTTTTAAAAAACTTACTTATTAATAATAGTATCATCTAATTCATCTTATTAATGAGATATTATTATCAAATTTATTAATAATATATATAATTTATATATTAATAGTAGATCAAATATAGATTCAATAACAAATTAATTTTTGAAGGAAAACAGGGTATAAATGAACAATTCTAGCTGGTTTTGATAGGTCCCAGTTTGGTAGAAATGCCGTGCTCCATTTTGGGTTGGTTTCAGCCGTAAGGGTTGGCAGGCTAGGCACGTAAATTTAGCTCAGAAGTCTTCAGCTTCCTATATTAATTACAAATTTTCTTCTATAAATATTTACTTTAACAGATATCATCGTACACATGAATAAGGGTTAAAATTTTGCACTTACAGTTTAAATTATAACATTTCAATAATGGAAGTGCAATATTGGGAGACAGTAAAATAATGTTTGGATTCAACTAGTAGATAAAAAAATTATTAAGTTCGAGTTACCTTATATGCTGTCCATGGAGGAAAAATAATTTGGATTAACGCAATATGGTTGCACCAAAAAAAAAAAAAGAAAAATTAAGGATTTGCTACGTGTCAAGAAATTAACAGCAGAATCACAGTGATGTACAACCCTGATAGGAACAGTGACGTAATTTAAAAGAGAAAGAAAATATTTGTTAGAAAGGACGGATAATACAAAAGTAGTCATACGAAAGAAACATATCTCCCCCACCTTACAGTCTCTCGCACTCCCACTCATCACATGCAGGGGCCGACCACCCCTAATAGAAAAAAAATAAAAAAAATGATCTAAAATATAATATTTGATATTTGATATTTAAATTTAAATTTAAATTTATTTAATTTGATTTAAATTTAAATATTAAATATATATTAAATTTGAATCAAAATTTTAAATTAAAAAACTTAAATTGAATTATATATTTTTAATAATTTTTAGATTTTTCAAATTTTTATAAAATAAAATAAATATTTATATCTAAATTTATTTAAATATATTAAAAAATAAAAATTAATAAACAAAATCAAATCAAATCAATAAAATTTTATAATTTTATAATATTATATATTATTTAAATTAAATTAAATCAAATACAATTTAATTCGAATTATTATCATCCTTTTCTCTTCAGACATTTACCTTACGCGATATCTCACTTTCAGCGTTGCATTGTTCTTTCTCTATTAACCTCCAATTTCCCTTCAAAAATATCCTCAGCCACCATGCAACAGCCTAAAATAATCTGATGAAGCAAAAGCCGAAGATAATAACGTAAAGCACTGGCGAGTGGCATGTGCGAGCTCTGACGCTAGACTACCTGTCTGTCATTTTTTTTTTTGCAGCCTTGATGTGGATGATGGTACGACAGTCTCCACATTTTATCTCACGCTTTTCTTTTTCTGTTCTTAGACTTTTCCATTGTCTCAGCTCGGCTTGCTTGTCTCCAAGCCATCCTCCTATAACAACTTTCTTACCCTTTTTCTAAGACTCGAATTTTCATGCAATTTTTTTTTTCTGTTTATGTTTTGTTTTCCCACTTTATTCCCTTCAAAATTTATTAAAAAAAAAAGTTGGTTCTTTTGCGTTAGTTTTTCGAAGATGTTTCTCTTTCTCGCATTACCAACCATTATGAAAAAAATTTTGCATTTTTCCTCATGTCATGATTTAATATCCACGCACCTTTCTATCTGTAATTAATTAATTAATTAGTTAATTAATGTGATTTAAATTAAATTAAATTCAAGTCTTTTTTATGTTCTACCAATTGATTGAGAATAATTCAAACGGGGGCATTCACAACAAGTTGAATTGAGTGAAAGCATATAAAGCAAATTGTACCATTATAATATGGTCCTCCAATCAAATTTTCTTAATCTTTACAAAATTGGGGACTAAATTTGAAATGTGGCAATCATGAGTCAAATCTGTTCTTTATCTTTACCTTATGCGTTTTCAAAACAAGAAAAAAAAAGTTGCATCATTTATGCATAAACAGTAGCATCCCCACCGCACCAAATTCAAAGATTGAAGGGCACATGGATGGTCAATTAACATATATCGTTGATTGGAAAATGAGCAGGTCCCTTAATTAAGTCCTTAACTTTCTTTTTCCATTATAAAAATATCAATTAAGTTGGCTACAACTGGTGGACATCTTAGAATCAGAATAATAATCCCCACATGCATACAACATTAGAAAAAGTTTTATTTAATTATATAAAATTTATATTTGATACATTGTTACTATATATAATTTATATACTATCAATAAATCAAATAATATCACATTATTAAAGAGAAAATATAAATTTTTAAAATAAATATATATTAAAAATTAATATATATTTTAAAATTTTATTTATTAATAAGATGATATCATCCAATTTACTAATAACGTATAAAATCTATATATTGTCAATGCATCAAATATAAACTTAAATATACATGTTATATGCAGTTAGACCTTTTCACTTTACTGGTGTGTGTTGTAAATTTTGTAATAACTAGCCATTTACTTATCAATTACCTTAATACGAAATAAAGAATAATTAAATTAAATTAAAATTTATTTATTGGTAATGCATAAGTTTTACAAATGGATTAAAATGTTATCAAATATATATATTTTAAGTATAATTTATTGAGTTAAATGGTAATTTTTTCATATCATTTTTAAAATCTAACAATTTTCAATACTAAAAAATTTATGAGAAAATAATAGTATGATAAGAAAATAAAACAACTTGCAAAATGTAAGTAGTTAACTAATAGTTGGCTCAAGTGATGCTCTTCTCTCTCTTGTTGTTTGGGTTTGGATACATTGAAAACTATAAAAAAAAAAAAAAAAAAAACTTTCTGGTTAAATTTTTAGCCTTGATATAATTTGGATAGAAAAAAAAATATATTAAACAAAGTTCAATAATCTAGATTGCTTAAAAAAAACATGCAGAGTAAAATTCAATAATCTCTTACCAATTAAAAAAAAATAGTATGATAGTTACAAGGGAATCATTGTGCTATGACTGTGAATTAGGTTAGTCTTTAATAAATTAAGATTTAACGAGATATTGGATTTAAAGGATTTACGAACTCATCCAAATATGGTCCAATAAAATTAAGTTGGGATCTGCTGTCATTATCAACTCCTTTGGCACAGGTGAAGACAAGTTTCCATACATTCCCGTTCTCCTAGGCTTAGCCTCAGTGTACTAGGCTAGTAGCCGCCAAGAGAGTCGACAAACCCCAGAGCTAAAATAAAATATAGATCAAACAAACAAAAAAAATCTAAGAGAAAAGGGCTGAATAAATTTGAAAAATGTTTGAAAAAAGAAGAGGTTTGACCGAATTCTACGACAGTCCAAAGCCGTTGGTGTGGTAGCGACAGTCATGATTTAGGTTCCAGAGATTTGTTTTTTTTAATTACTGGCATATGGTAAAAATAAAGTTACCCTTTTATTTCTCTTTCCACCTCTAATTATTTATTCATCTTTTTACCATTATAAACGCCGCTTACCACGCTTTGACGCTCACTATTAAATTTATCCTCATGTCTATTTTTTTAATTATTATAATGATGCTTAAAAATGAGGAAGGAAAAGACAAATTTAACCCTTTGAGGCTTGCTACATTACAAACTCTAATTCACGCCTTTATTTTCTTTTATGTACAAAAATTTTAGCTTTTCTTTATTAATGGAGAAAACACTAATAATGTGAGCTTCTATTTTAATTTTTTAAAATTTTATTTTTTTAATTCATCGCAAAAAAAATTTATGCATATAAGTTCTCTGAACTCTCAATTTAAAAAAAATCTAATGAACATGCATATCAATATGCGGCAGAGCAAAGCACAGGGTGATAACTGATCACTATTCAAGGGCAATTTGCGGGTTCCAAATTGGAGAACTTGCCCTGTTTATATCCAAGTAAAACAAGAGGTAGCCAAGGTGGTTAGTTGTTAACTGTTACCCTCCTTAATTTAGTACTGTTAATCAAACTAATTTAAAGAAAAAAGAGGAGAATTTAGAAGGTTGTGCCAGAAAGTTTTGGCCCACCAAACATAACCCCAATATCTGTACTTTTTTTGGTTAAGGGAATGGCTGTAGCAGCAGAGGAAGGGAGTTGAACGGAGCCAAACAGGCAGGACATTTACAAAGGGGGAAAGGGAAAGAAAGAAAGAAAGTGTACGAATGAATACCATAGTAAGAGGGAGAAGAGAGAGGAAAATGGAAGGTTGAATACAGCGAAGCAGATGTTAAGGAGTCCCCCCATTCCCTTCTAACACGCTGATACATGTTAATCATATATGTATATTGTCTTTGTTGTTGTTGTTGTAATACAAAGAGAGAGAAAGTGCTGTTACAGCAAAAAAGGGTGGGTCTTTGGTCTTGATTTTTCTTCTTGCCTACTACTGTCGTGGGTACCCACTAGCAGCTTTTTTGTCTTTCCATTTTTCTTAATTTTTTTGCTACTCCTGCTTCTTCTTCTTCTTCTTCTTCATCCTTTTATCATCCTTCTTTCTTTCTCTCTCTCAATTTTGTTATAACTTGGTCCCTGAGGAGTATAATATATATATTTTATACTTGTTGGGGAAGGGATTTTTTTTTTGTTGTTTTCTTTATCTTCTGTCATTTCCTTTTCCATCCCCTGAACAGTAATGATTTTCTCGTTACGGGTATCGTTGTTGAGGAATCTGAGGAGTTTTGGTTGTGAAAAAGTGGCAGTTATAGCATTAGAAAAACAACATCTAGAAGAAGAACAAAATCACCTACACGAGTGCAAGAGTGCTTGAGGAAGGCCAAAAAGAAAAAGAGCTTTGGGTTGATTGATGTGATAATCCAAAAAACGGCTCTACTGCAAGTCCTTTTTTTTTTTTTTTTGAAATTTCTTTTATCATTTTTTAACCACTCTATATTTGGCTTCTAGGTGGTTTTTTTTTTTTTTTTTTGGGTTCTGGGTTCTTTTAGCCTTTTTCTTCAAACTATATTTCCCTGTTTTATTTGGGTGTCTGGTCTGTTTTCTATATGTCTCAACAAAGGCAATTTCAGATGGTGAGTGGTAACAATCCGGGGCAGTACAATGACACAACTTTTACAAAAATCTTTGTTGGTGGATTGGCTTGGGAAACTCAAAGAAATACCATGAGGCGTTATTTTGAGCAATTTGGAGAGATTCTTGAGGCTGTTGTAATCACAGATAAGAATACTGGGAGATCCAAGGGTTATGGCTTTGTAAGCTTATTCATCCTTTTGTAAAAAGCCTTGTTTATTTCCTTTGTTATCCATTCTATGACAATAAAAAAATTAATCACTTTTCATTATTTTTCATTTCCAGGTTACCTTTAAGGATCCAGAGGCAGCTAGGAGAGCATGTCAAAATCCTTCTCCTATCATTGATGGAAGGAGGGCAAATTGCAATCTTGCTTCATTGGGTGCACAAAAGACTAGCACACCAACTCCTCAACATGGTTATTTCTTTCATCCCTTCCCTTTTCTTTGTTAGTATTAATTCTTGTTGAAATGCCATCTTCTTATCTCAATGTCAACTCTTTATGCATATGTTAAATGGTCCTGTAAATATTCACCAACATTTGGGTGAGAAAAATGTCATTGTTTGATAATGATATTTCAAAAGTTCAAAAATCCCCTTTTTATTCATTCTGGAGATCTATATTTTGAAAGCATTTTCATCTTGGTTTATGTTTCTAGATCAAGATAAATAGTTAGTCAATGTGATCTGATAGAATGAAATGTGGATCTAAACACTTGAGGTATAAAATAATTTAATTTAGGAAGAATATTTAAATGCAGGGGCAGGAAGGTTTAGACCAGCACCTGGATTGATGGCACCGCCTGGTTATCATGGTTCCTCATCAACTTATATCCAACAACCAACTGGTCAATATTCAATTCCTTACTCAGCTTATGGGTGAGTTATTGTAGAAATGAAATCCAATGGCATTTCTTTTAACCTGCATTGTAGTACTCTTGATTGTTTCATTTATTCTGCTTCACCAATCTGATTCTCTATTTGTTTACTTTCAGTTGCACTGGATATTCACAAGACAACATTTATCCCTTGGTTAGTGTTTACAAACAGAGATTGAAAATAAGAAATAATATATACTACACCAATTCCTTGACATTTCTTTAGCTGAATTTATTGGTGTTTTGCAGAACTATTATAGTCTCTATGGAGGTCAACAATTTTCACCTTACTACACTACCGAGGCATCAGTGACACCTGGGATGTTTCATAGTTTTTATCCATTTTATGCTCAATATGCACCAAATAGCCAGGCTCATGGTTTTGGAGTTCAATATCCCCAAATGGTACATTATCCTTATTTGCTTCCGCAGTATAGCTCGACAGGAATCCTATCATTTCCTTATTCATTGCCTATGGCAGCAACTACCCCAGGTGTCATTTTACACATCTCTCTAAATACATTCAGAGTATTTTCAATTAGTTAAACACTTGCTGTGTAATAACAACTGCAAGAGAACATTGATACAAAATGCAGCAGTTGATAATTATCAAACAAAATATGAAACAGGTATTGCAGCAACAACTACAGCAACTGCAACAGCAGCATCAGCAACATCAGCAACAACAACAATGTCATCAACAACTACAGCGAAAACAGCAACACCACTAATAACAGCACCATTACCCCCAGCAACAACAGCAACAATTGAGGAGGTTGGAACGGTGCCAGGTCCTTCACGAGCTTCTGGGACACCTACTGAAAAGAAACCATCAAGTTAATCTTTGTTGACTGATATAGTGTCTTTTACAAGATAATCAAAGATCTTTTGAAAGTGACGTAAAGGTCAAGCAAAAAGGAAACATTTGAATAAAAGAATACAAGCAAGTTATTGATCAAAAGAAGGATGCTTCATGGCTGATCGCCTAGCATAACAAGGGATGGAACTCAAGAATTTCAGCAGGGGATTGTTCATTCATGGAACGGGCGTTTTAGATGTAAAGCTCGATCCACTAACTGTCTACAATTCATTATTCTCCATTCATGCCCAATAGGATTGTCTTACTAGCTATCATCTTTAGTCACCAATTAATCATACATGTTTGGTCTAGGAGAGTAGGGAGTCATAAGTAGTTGTTAGCATTAGGAGAAGAAATCATATTCATTCATATATTTGCATAAGGTGGAATCTAAATATAGGCTTTGGATTCTACCTTAGACACTAATTATTAGATGATTTTGTCTCGGTTGCAGAGAGCATCCGATGACAATCTTGTTCATATTTGTAGCAAGTGGTTCACAAGATTGATTTTGTATCTTTGAACCCAAATTTGATTGATTGGTCAAGAAAAAGGGCAAGCTCGGATAGCTCACCCATTAACTTGTAATTTTTTTTGTTTGTTCATCATAGGATTAGTTGGGATAATAAGATGGTGTTAATCTCTCTCTCTCTGTCTCTCTCTGTCTCTCTCTTCTAACAGATAATCATCTCTTAATTTTATCTTACATCTTTCGCTTTCAATGGTTATTCTTTTTATTTAATCGATCAAATCATTCTTTTCCATGATCATCACTTTTGAGGTTCAATGCATGTGTTTGGAATCCTAGGGGATCATGATCTCAGAAAAAGAAGTCAATGGTTGTAGGGGTGTACCTTTTAATGATTCAGAGTCGAGCATGCATGCCGGTTATATCATATCATACTTCTGATCCTTCCAATTCAATGAAAGCCAGCCTGGAAAAGTTTCTAAGAATATTGTCTTGCAACAAATCATCCCAAGTGTGTCAAGAGAAAAACCAGGAGAAACACTGTGCTATAATAGCTTTTGCATCCTCCAAGGCATCTCTTCTGTCCCTCAGCAACTGTTCATAAACATAAAAATATACAACAACGAAGTTGGTCGGTTCCAAAACATTTAACAAAGGGCAAGTTGTTCGACATGTCAATCAAAGTCATTGTTGGAAAGGCTTTTGCAAAGATTTTATTCATCAATTTTCTCTCGAGGGCCGTTTGGTTTGAGGGATTTTTAATGCTGGGTCAATAGCTATTTTACTTTTCTAAATTCTAATATATAGCATCGCTGGTATTTTGCGCAATAGTCGAAGATGGACCAGCCAGCATGTTGCATGGCAGAAGGCGTCACAATCTCAATTGGTCTGAAACCCACTTCTCTTTGGTAAAGATTTCGATATGATAAAAGAATCTTAGCAACATTTTTTAATTTTTAAAGTTGTCCCTTTGCCTAATAACTTCACAAAAAGTAAGCCTTTTCTTTTTCTTCTTTCAGAAAAGTAAGCCTAATTTAAAGAAACGAAACAATACAGTAGCGCACTTGGACTTGGTAATATTCAACATCTTGGACAATTCACTACTTATAATTAGTTTCAAATTATTAATGAGGAAATGTCTTATTCATATATGCTTCCAATTTGCAAAACATTTCCCATGTATATGTCATGGTTTCATCAGTTTTATCAGATTGATGATGTGCTCTATCATTCTTTAACCAAACTGCATTATAAGGATAAAAAAAATCAAAAAATTTGAAAATTGATTTAAAATTATATTGTTCGGTTCGATTTAAATCGATTTTTTTTATTCGATTCAGATAAAATTTAAATATTAAATGTATATATTAAGTTCAGATTAGATTTTGATTTGAGATGAGAACAACTAAAAAAAATTAAATCAAACTGAATTATATATATTTTTTAATTTATATATATTTTAAATTTTTATAAAATAAAAATAATAATTTTATATCAAAATTTACTTAAATATATTAAAATTTTATATTAAAATAATATATAAATTTTAAAAAATTTAAAAATAAAAAAATAATAAACTGAATCGAACCGATAAAATTTAATTCGATTTAAATCAAATAAATATGAGGTTTAAATTTGAAATAAATTTTAAATTTTTATAATATTATATAATATTCAAAAAAATCAAATTAAATCAAATCTAAATTTAACCGTTATCACCTTTGTTACATTGTATGTCCTTCAAGGTATCATCTCTAACGTATGTACTTACTCTTTCATATTGGTCAATTAACTTTTAATTTTTGTATTGCGACTCCAAATTACAATGACCATACCTCAAAAAATGTCATTTATTCGTTATATTGCATGGCCATCAACATAATGGAGTGGTGGCTTAATTTATTATTATTTTTTGAATCAAGGTCATATGTGTCATTTGCACTATGAATTAATATTTAATATTGAAATTTATCCTTATATTTCAATTTTATTGAATTTAAATTTACAATAATAAATTACAATTAAAGATATTTATGTTCTTTCATTTAAAAAAAAAATTACCACACATTTGACATTAGATAACTTTAAAAAATTTTTTTTTTTTCTTTACGTTTAAAAAATATAATTTCTTTACGTTTAAAATCTTTTAGAAATTACTACTTTTTTACGTTTAAAAAATCATTAAAACTGACTTGTAATTTTTCCCGCTTCCGCTCATACGGTGACATGGGGCTTATAAATTCTACTATAAATAAAAAAACGCAGATTGAGCTGGCCGCTCCTTTCTAAAATCCTCATGGTTTAGTGAGTATATTGGGCTTGGTCTTGGAGTTTAGTTGGGCTTTCTAATACTCTTATTATATAAAAAAAAGGCCGACTTGAATTGTTTCTTCGGTTGCAAGAAACTATATTTTTTAGGATAAAACACACGTATAAATACACGTTGGTGGCTAGAGTTGGGTGGGTCGTGACAGATTTTTACTGGTCCATAAATAGATTTGATTTTATAATTATAAAATTTATATTTATATTTAATTTAATTTTTTTATTTTTTAATATTTAAATTCAATCCGAAATATAATATTATATAAATCGTACTTGATTTGATTTGATTTAAAATTAATAAAATATTATTTTTTAATATATATAATTATATAAAAATTAAAAAATAAATTTTAATATAATATTAAATCGGATCGAATCGAGTCGGATTTATTTAAAATTCGAACATAATCTGATCTCGATTTTTTTTTAATAATACTCAATTTAACTCGAAATTTGATTTTTTTCTTTTTAATTGATCCTATAAAATTGAATTAGATTGAAATCCGTCATATTCGAATTAGGTTGTCACCCATGGTGCCACCTAAATCTAAACGCATGAAGGCTTCTAAAGGCTATTTACATCTTTTCTGCTCAAGAACGTGGAAAATTTCTCGCGCCTGGCTCCAAACAGGGTAGGTTTTTTCGTCTCCGATTGTTGTTCCTGTCTTTTGCTCTATGTAGGGTTTTGCTTCATCTTTTATGTGTTGATGTATTCTTATATTAGTCAATTTACATGACCTGCTCTTTGTGCTTTCAACAAGAAATCGCGTCTTGTTTTCTAAATTTAAAGACTTTCTGTCGAATATTTTTACGTTTTAGATTTTTGAGATTCATATTGTGTTTAAGAGGAAATTGTGGAGATTAAATTGCAGAGATAATATATTTTTGGTGATGTGGGGTTTGCTATATCGAAGAAGATATCAAACATTAACATTGACGACTCGACTTCTTGTTGTCAAAAAATAAAAATCTCTGTTTTTTCTTTCCCTCTTTCTGATTATATGACGTTTTACTCAACGCTTTTGATTATTTTCGGGATTGAAAACATCGTTGTTCTGTTCTGGATTTGGTTATTAAAATTTCTCTTGATTTTCGATGTAAACGAAGCTGTCCTGTGTTAGATATTAGATAAATACTTTCCCATGTAACTGTTGAAATTTGTTGTGAGCTCTTTGATTGTGAATTCCCCACGGAAAAAGATGTTAATCGAATGAATGTTCAAAGCTAGCTGTATACCCACCCCCTCTTTTGCTTTTGCTTATGCGTGCTCTGGCTGTAGTTAAAATTTGATGCTATTCCTATTATAATCAACCTTGTTGCCTTAGTTCTCTTCCTAATGATCAGCTGAATTTCAGAACCAGCAGCTTGTCCTTTTATCAGCACTGCGGTTGTTTAACTACGATGGAGAAGGTCGACATTGTATACTCTCTATTTGTGGCTATATTTCATACTTTCATATTATCTTTGCAATAACTAACCATATTTGATATGTTTGTCAGTATAACAATGTCAGATCTGTCAGAGTTGTCCCCTCTTTGTATGTTCACAAGTGGCGTGATTATTGTGGATGTCTGCACTTATTCTTGACCCATAAAGAGATCAAACTCTAGTTATGAAGAAGTGTTACTTTGGTCATCTCCCTATGTCACCGAGAGGAGAGGTTGCTTTTTTTATGAAGTTCCCTCATGATAATATTGTCGGGTAACCAGTCTTTTTCTTGTATAATTAATGCTAACATTCATCCTATTACATACATATACATGCAATATATAGGTTGAAAGTATGCTCAGATGTGTCTCTGTGTGAAAACAAAAAGAGGAGAAAAGAATAAAAAGGTAAATCAGAATTATGCCAAATTACATAATTAGAAAATTTTTTAAAAACAAAATCAATTGAAATTGCTCTATACTTTTTGGTTGCAAAAAAAATGAAAATTTACGTTACTTTATGAAACTATGTGGTGAGGTTTATGTATTCTTTTATACTATTTAGTATTAATTTGTGAATTTCTTTGGAATCAAGACTTTTTTTTTTTTTTGTTTTGTTTCTTTCATTGTAGTAATTAACATCTTGAACTGACTCGTATAAATGGTAAAATTGAAAATTCGCTCTAACTTTCTCACGGAATGCAATGAATCTTTTTATAAATAAATATATAAAAAAAATTGTCAAAATACGTTCATTTTATTATTATTATTATTTTGGGTGTACATGAGTCAAAAGAATGGATGATTTCTTATTTTTTTAATACGTAAAAATCTTCCTTTATGTAACTCAAAAATCAGATTTATCATGAAAATGAAAAAGTTAGCAATGCTGTAGAGTATCATAAGACATCGCTATTTCCGGGAAAAAATCGTTATAATTTTCTTGTAATTGAGCCCTCATTTCAAAGACGGGCCAGTTGTTCACTAGGCCTTGTAAATATTATGAGCCCAAATCATACTTTTTCTTTAAAACCCCTTCTCGGAAAGTCGAAAAGAAACCCTAGAGACACTTTGCTTTGAGAGGAGGCGCTGCACAGCTTACCGAAAACTCATCACTCCCAGATTTCATCTCTCAGGTAGTTCTCTGCCTTTCCCTCTCTTTTCTTGTTTGTTTCTTCGGAAAATTGTTTCCTTCAAGAGATTTCCAAGAATTTTCTTTTCATTTCTAGCCTCGATGTTTTTAAAAATCTTTATATGGATTGGCTTTTAATTGTTTATTATTTATTTATTTTAATGTTCATAGTTGAAACCATGTCGTCGGTTGGAGAAGCTGCTTGCTCTTACGCTGCTTTGATTCTCTATGATGATGGAATCCCCATTACCGTATCCTTTATGCATTTTAGGGTTCTATGATTTATAATTTGAATTTTGTTTTTAATTTCTCTGATAGGATTATGAATGAAAAAGGAAAAGTAGCAATTTTGATTATTGTTGTTGAGAGAATGAGAGATTCCCCATATGTATGGGAAGATTTTTTTTTTCTTTGACTGTCGCTAATAGGCTGAGAAGATTGCAACAATAGTTAAAGCTGCAAATATCTCTGTTGAATCTTATTGGCCAAGCTTGTTCGCAAAGCTTTTCGAGAAGTGTAACATTGAGGATCTCATAACCAATGTTGGAGCTGGTGGTGGTGGTGCTCCAGTTGCTGCAGCTGTACCTGTTGCAGCTGGTGGTGGAGGTGGTGCAGCAGCACCACCCCCTGCTGAGGAAAAGAAGAAGGTGGGATTAAACTTTACAAATAGATAAGTGTAGATGTTTTCCTTGCACCATTTATTCTGATATGTGATTCTTGGTAATTTTGCAGGAGGAGCCAGAGGAAGAGAGTGATGATGATATGGGATTCAGTTTGTTCGATTAGACACTCCTTTCAGTTTGTGATTTGGTCAATTACTGGATTAGTGCATTAAGCTATAACAGTAGTTTGAGTTTTATTTAGCATGGGTATTTGTCTGTTAATTAGAAGTATATGTCTTTTTGAATGAAGTGAGACTGAGTAGTTTTTCGCTTTTGAGTTGTATGGTTGAATCTTCCTACATATACGAGTATTCTAGACCAATTTTTGCCATTTGTCAGAGTATTGAGTTGATGTGGTTTATTCCATGGCTATGCATGCTTTTGTTTCAGATTGTTGTTTTCATCGTTATGCTACCTATGACATCTCTTGATTTTATCCAACTGGCATGATGGTTGTTTATACATGTTAACAGATTGTTGTAACTTTTCATTACTGTAATTAGTCATTGGTTCTGAGCTCTACTCTTTTCTTATTTTTTGGCTGAATGTTAGTCCTTTAAGCTTCGGTTTGTCTATTTTTTGCTATGTTGTTTGGATTTGGTACCTTTCCTTTTCCTCTTGCCAAATATATTGACTGGTAAATTTAGCCATTTGGTAGAAGGAAACATCAACTGAATCTCCTATTATATCTGTTCTTCTGAGTATGATACAGTGGACCCAGGGCTGGTTCTTTGATGCTTGAATGTTTTACTCTGATTCTTTCTGGTTATCTTTTACTTTTAATCTTTATTGACTTAATTCATCTCCAATATATTTATAATTCATAATTCCATCACTAGAATAGCCTATGTAGCTTGGATTTTGTAAAGCAAAGTTGTTGCTTCGATAATGTTACACTTTCTTTGGGTGACATCATAGACGAAATTTGCTATCTAATTTTCTGGCATAATGTTTTGCTAATCTTGTTGATTATAACTTGTAAAAGTATATGTTGTTATATGGTATACATCCTTTATATATTAGGGAAACTTTATTTATTTATTTTTAAAGCAGTGAAAAAGAAAATAAATTATGGGTTTAATTGATCAAACTGAAATTGTCCGGAAATAATTTGTGATCTGTCTCCTCCTCAACTACACTCTTCTAACAATGAACTTGTTCGCTGTCACTACCGGCGAAGTTATTTCCAGGAATAAACGATGAATTTTAATTGACAACGGGAAAGGTTCCACCGTATGGGACTCGACCTCCTCCGATTCCAACACCATCATATATCACCGCACCATCGATGATGAAATCCTCAACGACTCTAATACCTCTTCGTCCTACGCACCCTCATCGCCTCCCTCCGCTCATCACCACTCCAATAACCATATTGCCCGGTTCAACATCCTTCCGCAAGGATTCGCGGATTCCCTGAAGGAAAGGGACGCCCTTGCACAAGGACCAGCGGAATCGTCGAAGCCTAGCCTATTCACGCGGATTTGGGATCCGATATGGAGAGTTTCGTCAACGTCTTCTTCAAAAACAGTTGCTGACGCTGTTCGGCGGAGTGAAATCCAATACGAAACCAGGAGCGCTTCGAGGTCGGTTCCAACACCACATGCCTGACGGGATCAAGTCGATAAGGGTTGTAAGCGGTGGGATTCTCCACAAGGTTGTAGATAGTGATGATCACGAGGTAAGCTCATTGAATGGGGAACCGGTTGGGCCTTAGTTCTGAATCAAACGTTGGTGAAAAATTATAAATTGATGATTATAATAATTATAATGAAATGGGCGATTTTCAATCTGCCGATGCCCATGAGAATGGTGAGGTTGATACTAAAGATAAGGGAAGTGAAACGGATGAAGTAATTGATTGAGAGGATGGCTCTTGTAAGCTTGATTTTGAGGAGAACTTGAATAAAGAAGTTACGGTTACGGGTTTGGAAGAAGTTTTCGATAAAGAAATTCCCCCTGCTTCTGTGTGTGAGAATTCTATTGTTCTTGATGCGAATGATTCATATAAAGAGTGTTTTGTCTTTGCCTAAGGTTGTTCAGGGGAGAAACATAGATAAGGACTTAGAGATGGTGGATTTGGAAAGAGAGAATATAGTAAATGATAAGCCTAGTGGTGAAGATGGTGAGGAGCATGTTGCTGGTGCTGCTAATAGTGGAGGTGGTAATGATGCAAGTTCGATAAGTGATATTTGGGAGCTTGTAGAGGTGAGATTGGTGCAATTAGAGAGTGAGAGGATAAGTAGGAGGGTGGAGAAGAATTCGCGTGCTATTGTTAAGCCACTTGAATTGGCTGAAGAGATTGAGAAGAAACAGCTTCTACTGCTTTGCATTGGTAGGAGGGCGCTGTTGCTTAACCAATGCGGCTTGAAGGTGTTAGGAGGGGTTCAACCACGTTGGGATACTTTGATGTTGAGGCTAACAATGCAATCACTCGGACTCTATCACAGGTATTCTGGATTGATCATGACTCCCCGCAAGTTTTGGCTGTTCATCTGAATTTTAGTACTGTGGGATGACTAAAGGAGTCACCATCCTAGAGCCCAGTAAATACTATGTTTATCATGCTGAAAACATGGATCCTAAGGTGATTCAATTGCTCTATCTCTTTAATTTCCATCTTTGGTTGCATTTCTTTGGAAATATATGCCTTTTTAAAGTTGTTTAATTCTGCTTCTTTTTTGTTAAAGACAAATTTAAGGGTACTAGGAAAATATTCTTATGACAATGCATTCTAATGCCCAAAACAATAAAATTTAGTATCAAATACTGGCTTGATGGATCGAAATTAGGAAGATGGAATCTTGCCATATCTTATTAGTGCATTATGGCTAAAAAGACATGATGCAGCAGCTTGACAAGATACAGGGGTGAATCTTAGTATTGTAGTTATCCCTGTTGACTTCTACTGCAATTGATTGTCTGATGAGCTTCGAAGCTTTATTATGCATACAGTTTTCACACTTTCTTGAATTTGATTTTTGATTTGTTATTTAATTTTTTGAGTTAACTTTGCTGTTTAACTATGTCATATGTATTCTAGATGGTGATACTTGGTTTGCAAGGGGATCAGTTCCTTGCCCCTGTAACATCCATGTGCTTCGATCAGCCAGGAGACCTGCTCTTAGCTGGCTATGGTGACGGTCATGTTACAGTTTGGAATGTTCAGAGGGCATTGGCAGCAAAAGTTGTTATGGGAGAACATACCACACCAGTGATACATTATTTCTGGGGCAGGATTCTCAAGTTACTTGCCAATTTAAAGTGGTTCAAGGTCATAGTAAAGGCCAGATCCTCTTACATGCTTTCTCGTTGTGCCCTTATTTAATAGGTTCTTGATCAAAATGCAGGTAAAAAGTTACTCCATTGAAATAAGTCTATTTGCATTGAGGATCTACTTATTCTAAACTGATATTGATTGACATAGTGCCTTCTTGATGGACAAAGAATGGGCACTGTATTGTCAGCTTCGCCCTTCTTTTTGATGATTCATGCGGGAGCACTTTGGTGACATCTCAAGGGAATGCTACATTTTCTACTAGCAGTATTGGTAGCAAGATGGGAGGTGTAGTTGGGGGAGATGCAGGTTGGAAACTCTTCTCCGAAGGCTCTTCTCTGGTTGAAGAAGGTGTGGTCATATTTATCACCTATCAAACTATTTTGGTGGTATGAAGTCTGGATGATTGCGCAAATTCGATGTATCTTTTATGTTGAGGATTATATTTGCATTCTTCTAGACAGTTCTGATCCACCATTTGCTGAAGCCACTTTTTCTCATCTTTAGGTAAGGCTTACACCAACATTAGAAGTCTATGTGCAATTTTCTTGGCCAGATGGTGTGCAGGAGGGTTCCATGCCTTGCACTGCATGGACAAGTATGACATGGCCTCCTGGTTCTTCATCAGGTATAGAGTGATCGAGGTTGTTATTTTTTGCATTGACAATTTTCTCTGATATGAATATGCTGCAGAAAATGCATCAATAGAAACAGCAGAAAGAGTTTCACTGCTTGCACTTGCATGGATCGGAAAGTTCAGGTTGCAAAGTTGGTCAAATCTGACCTGAAAGTATATGGGAAATGGTCTCTTGACAGTTCAGCGATAGGTGTGGCTTGGTTGGATGATCAGGTATGCATGGTTTTGTTTGTTTAATTACACAGGCATTTCCACTTCATCTAGATTTTATTGTGCTTTTTTTTGTTCCTTCATAAAACAATTTTGCTAGTGGAGGTTTTCATTCTTGTACAGATGATGGTGGTTTTTACAATGACAGGACAGCTCTACTTGTTTGCTAGGGATGGAATTGTGATTCACCAAACAAGTATTTCTGTAGATGGTGTGGGAGGAGATGATCTCATTGCATATCATACTCATTTCATTAAAGTATTTGGAAACCCTGAAAAATCTTATCATAATCGTGTATCCATGAGAGGAGCTTCCGTATATGTACTAGGACCTATGCATCTTGCTGTCTGCCAACTTCTTCCATGGAAGGAAAGGATTCAGGTTCTACAGAAAGCCAGTGACTGGATGGGAGCTTTGAGCATGGCAATGACACTTTATGATGGTCAAGCCCATGGCGTTATTGACCTTCCTAGAAACCTGAATGCAGTGCAGGAGGCCATAATGCCCAATCTTGTAGATTTGGTTTTTTCATATGTAGTTGAAGTGTTTTCCTATATTTCAGCCGCATTTCGTAACCAAATTGGTATAGTGGACCAGCCAGATGACCAAAGAATCAGAAACGGTTCTGTGCACTCCGAAATAAAAGAGCAATTCACTTGTGTTGGTGGTGCCGCTGTTGAATTTTGTGCCCATGCCAAGAGGAGTCACATTCTTTTTGATGAAATTTTCTCCAAATTCATGGCTATTCAGCAAAGAGGTATTACACACAGCTCATTCTGTGCCTGCAATAATTACTTCCATATTCTGTATTCTTTGTTCAATATTAAAGTTGAGATCTACATTGCCAAGTCAGACAATTAATGATGTAGAATAATTATCTTTCTGGTATAATTGCTATAATTGAAGCTTAAGGAAAGAATGTCATGCCTGATATCTGATAATCTTGGCTCTGTTTGTGATGGTAATTGCACATCCAATGGACTCAAGCTAGAGTGCTTTCTTATCAGTTAGCATCATTTGGAACTAGTTTTTGAATGTCATAAATATGCATAGTTTCTATGAACTCCTTATTCATCGATAAATTCTGAACCCAAACTTAAGAACAAAAATTTAATTTTTACTTGCATCTCTTTGGGGCAAACTGGCACTGAAAAATCAATTTAAGTAGTTTAATGACAGAGCAAGACAACTTGGGAAGATATTGAAG